ATATATATATATATATATATATATATATACACACACACATACACACAGAGTATAAGTTTTAAACAAACATTTTAATACTGTACACAGTATAGATGATTGTGAAGCTTGGTTGAGGTAGTGAAGTTAGAGGGTGGAATATTTCCCAGGGAATGCCTTACTGCTAAATGATGAACTAGCACTCGGCTGAGCCCTCAAGGGTTAACACGTTGTTGTTAATGTAGCCTCACACTCTACAAGGCAGCACGAATGGAGGGAGGGGAGACCTAGACACACACCCTGTGTGTGTGGGGGGGGGAGAGAGATGCACATTGCCCCTTTAAGTACGCTGACACCACATTCTAAGTACATTGCCTTTAAAAAGATCAGGAAGCTGAGACGCAGCTGCAGCCAGCTCTCTCGGTCCTGAGGCCTGTTGTGTCTCCCCCCTGCTCTATATGGAGAAGAGGTAAGTGGGGAGCAGGGGGGAGGGGGACACCCTGACATTAGTCCCCCTCTTCCCCCCCTCCCCTGCACAGTAAGCAGGAGGCTCCGGGGAGCAGCTCCAAGGCAAAGGGCAGGAGCAGCACATGGCAGTGGGGGAGGGACAGCTGAAATGCCGGCCATTGGTAGCCTGCTGCTGCACAGGGAACTTAGGGGAGCTGATAGGGGGGCTGCCGGTCCACCCTGCTTCCAAGCCCCCACCAGCTAGCTGCAATGGGCTGCTCTTCCTGCAAGCAGTGGACAAAGCAGGCAGCTGCCAAACAACATTATAAGGGAGCATTGCACAACTTTAAACCAGCATGTTCCCTAATTGATCAGCAACGTAACAACGTTAACCGGGACGGCTTTACGTGAGGAGTTACTGTATGTGTTAGGGTCTCCTGAGGTGCCTGTGACGTTGGGGATGGTCTGTGCATGTCTCAGGTTTAATACAGACTGACAAGACCTGGACGCTGTTGACAGAGCTACTCCCATGGGACTGATGGATTCAGCTGCAGCTTGCTCCTACTGCTAATATGCTCACATGGGAGTGTCTCTTTCCTAGCTCTTCTCAATTTGCCCAGGCAGTCGTATGGAGAGATCATTGCCTCATCTTGGCTATAAGATGGGAGTGGATGCATTTGAGAAGAGCATCGCAGGGAGCGAGTCTGAGCATCCAGAGTGACTTTGCCTTGACCCTCCGTCCCCACTCGTGGGATTTCACAGCCTGTACAGGAGCTGTCATGCATAATTGCTGCACTACCAGTGTTCTGTCAGACTGCAGCTGTCCCAGTGGGGTGATCTGTTGGCATTTGCAAGTAATTGATCTCTGATGCCAGGTCTCTCCTCTTCTCTCTCTTTCACAGGTGGGTCTATTTGTCGATTTCTTTGTGCGACTCTTTTCCCAACTTAAATTCCATGTGGTGCAAACCTGTATCCTTTATGTGGTGCCTGCCTTATTGTTGGACTCAGGTGGCCTCTTTCTCTTTAAAACCATGGCCTTGTCTTGAAAGGGTTGGTTCCACTAGAGAACTCTCCTGGGCGGAGGGGTTTATTAACCACTAAACGTCCTACTGGGGGTTCTGCTTCAGTAGTTGGGAAAGTCCCCCTGGCAGAGGTGACAGAGCGTGAGTAGCACGGTATCCTGTGTATGGGTGCTCTCCGGCCCAGTCTTCCTACCACTGAAGCCATTGGCAAAACTCCATTAACCAGGATCTGGGCTTTGAATCATTGGGACCAAGAGCTGGATTCTGGAAGAGGAACTGTAAAAAAAATCCTTGCTGTGGAGTGTCTCTGCAGCAGCATCTCTGCAGCAGCACCTTCAGAATGATTTGATACTAAATCATCAGCATTGTCTGTTAGACCCACCCTGTGGCTTTCTAACCCCCATGCTTCCCTGGCTCCTTCTCAGAGGAGCTGCCTTATACTTCATGCACAGAAAGTGTCATCAGCATTTCTCCTTGTCCTTCTCTGTTGCTGGACCCTGTGAATTGTGCAGTGAAAGGGGAAGGCATAAGGTGTTTGCGGTGAAGATGGAAGTCAAGCCCACTTTGTGGTTGCTGGGTGTAGTACCCAAGGAGTGGGCTGCCACCCCCTGGGAAACATCGATCCAGGAAAGAACATCATGGACCTGTCAGATGCTCTTCCTGGTTTCTGGCATCTTGAGTTTAGTCCAGCTTGGTCACGGGGGCTGCGATGGGAGCCTGATTTCTGAAGGCTGGTGGCTGGACTAGGAGATTCAGCCTTGAGTCCTGTTAATGGGCCCTACAGAGTGTGCTGGCTGAGGTATGCGTTCCTGTTGCCTTGACTCCCTCCCTGCAGCGGTGGAGGAGTGCAGCGAGAAGGGCTGCCTTGCCGTGTCCCTGCTGGAGTTGCTGGGGTTTAACCTGACCTTCATCTTCCTTGCCAGTCTTCTTGTCCTGATCGAGGTGAGACTGCTTTGAATACACCCTTTCCTCTCCTCTCTGTCCTCGCTATCAAACAGGTAATGCACACAGTCTGTTGCCCTCTTGCAGCACCTTCTCACCCAAGATTTCAGAGCATTTTACACAGACTACTGAATTCAGCCTCTCGGTGCGCTCTTTCCCATAGTCCCTTGCTGCATTCATTGGTGGGGGCTCATCAGCCTGCTGACACACTGTGGTATTTAACGTGTCCTCCCTGCAGCCCGTGGCAGCCGGCTCTGGAATTCCGGAGATTAAGTGTTACCTGAACGGAGTGAAGGTGCCAGGGATAGTCCGTCTCCGGACGCTGGTGTGCAAAGCTGTGGGGGTACTCTTCAGCGTAGCCGGAGGTAAGAGGGAGCCGACAGATGCATCATGGACTAAGCGTATGATGGTGGGGAACAGAGTTTGACTGAAAATCTCCAGGTGGGCGGGTCAATAGTGGCTCTGCACTTTTATAGCCAGTGATGGGAAGGAGAACAAAGACACTGGTGTGAGTGCCGGGAGCACACTGCCTAGAGCATGTCCCCCACTATGCCTTGGGAGAGTGCAGACACCTGGGGATAACAGCCCTCTTTGATGGATGTATTTAGTGCGGTCCCAGTGCCAAGCCTCAGGTGCATGGCTGAAGTCCTCACTGTGCAGAAGCATGTGTCGGCACAAACACGTATGTGCCCCACTGGGACATGCCTGCCCGACACTGCCTGGAATATTGACAGCCTGGAGTCATGCTGCCCCTGAATTTCCCCAGGGAGCAGGCAGTGCTCCTACTTTGGGAGTCTGCACTCAGCCTCTATGCTGGGCAGAGGGTTGGAAACTAGTTCTGCACAGGCACAGGGGTGACTGGTTTCTGTGCCCCATGGCAAAGAAGTGATGCCCCTCTCTCCTAGTACTGCAGAACAGGACGGAGCGTGCTGGGTTTAGCTGCAAATGTCTGACTTCTGCAGTGAGAACGCTTTCTGTTTTTCAGGTCTCTTTGTAGGGAAGGAGGGCCCCATGATACACAGTGGCGCTATTGTGGGGGCTGGCTTGCCTCAGGTTAGTGCTGGAAATGCTCTGAGACTCTTTGTGACTTGGGCTGTGCCTGGGATGGGTTAGGCACCAAGGACGTTGTGGGGAGGGATAGCTCAGTGGTTTGAGCATTGGCCTGCTAAACCCAGGGTCCTGAGATCAATCTTGAGGGGGCCATTTAGGGATCTGGGGCAAAAATCTGTCTGGGGATTGGTCCTGCTTTGAGCAGGGGGTTGGACTAGATACCTCCTGAGGTCCCTTCCAACCCTGATATTCTGTGACATTGCTCTGAAGTTTATCCCATCTCAGTGCCTTGGTTAAGATCAGGTGTAGTGTCTGTTAGATGTGTTCTCCTAGAAGCTAAAGTAATGACAGAGGGATGACATGGCTGAGTTGGCCTCGTTCTGCTCCCTCTCCACTGTGCGTTTCTAGGTCACACGTCTGGGCCATCTTAAATCTGTGAGAGCGCCATAACCTCCTCCCTCAACCACCTGGTAAGGGCTGTTACAGGCTCAGGAGAAACCCAGCACTGAGCAGGGATAAAGATGAGATCCCCTTTTGGGGAGGTGGCCCCTCCTAGGCATCAATAACGCTAACAGCAGCACACAGTGTAGCTGTTCGCACTGTGCCAGAACAGCTGACAAATTGAGCCTTTCTCCTGAGCGTAGACGCTGCCTCCTGGCTCAGCCTCACAGCCTCTGGTGTGCCGGTGCTGGCTGCAGGACCCTGTGCTGGAGTGTCTGGAGAGCCTCTCTGCTCATGCTGAGAGACGAAAAGGAAACTGACTCTAATTCACAATGGGATGTAGTGCCTGTTTAGGCCATGGTGTTGCAGGAAGGGAAGGGAGCATTTGACGTTCCTCTCCCTCGTGCTGAGAGGAGAGAGAACCCTGGAGACTGGTCAGCAGAAGCAGGTAGTAGGTACTTTGCAGGAACCCTCCAGGGACAAAGCTCCCAGCTCCAGCACGCACTGAGTTCTGTAAATAGGATCTGCTAGTAGAGCAACCGATACCTTAGAAGCACATTTCCTGGTCTGCTTTCCCTCCGCCGTGGATATGTAGGCAGAAGAGCTCGGTGTTTCCCAGGTGTTGGCTGCTCCCAGAGGAGTGTTGGGGGAGGGAAGGGCTGCTTTGGTTCATCATTGTGTCAGTTTTGACTCTGTCCTTCTGTTTTTTCAGTTCCAGAGCATCTCCTTTAGGAAGATCCAGTTTAACTTTCCCTATTTCCGAAGTGACAGGTACTGTACCCAAGGGGAGGGCTGAGTAGGGTGGGGTGGGGGTGCTGGATTGGGTGGGTCAGTCAGCCAGAGCCTGTCAGCCCAACGGAGAGAAGGTACATAGTTATATATCCAGGTGAGACTCCTTCCTGAGGCACCTGGTCTCCCCCACAATCCTCTTGGTGCGCAGCCCCCTCCAAAAGGTGTTGGGGACACAAGATTTGCCATAATGTATCAGACCCCAGGTCCCTTCAATCCCATATCATATGTCTGGCTATGGCCAGTATTTACTACGTTAGGGAGAGATGATAAACCCACTGCCCACTGGGCACAGCTGGCTGCAGGAGTAAGACTCCTTCCTGCCCCCATCAAGCAGTTAGTTTAGTCCCAGGCTTGATTCCCCTTTTCCAAGTTCCTTCCAGAGTCTCCCTTGATATAAACTCTCATTGTTTCCCTCTTTGCTTAGGGACAAAAGGGACTTTGTATCTGCAGGGGCCGCCGCAGGGGTTGCTGCAGCTTTTGGGGCCCCAATCGGGGGCACCCTGTTCAGCTTGGAAGAGGGTTCCTCCTTCTGGAACCAGGGGCTCACGTGGAAAGTGGTGAGAACTTTGGCTCTTCGGGTTCCCCTTCCCTGTGAGAGGGGACTTGAGCTGGAAGCCAGCGAGCTTGGCTGTGAAGAACCCAAGATTCTTGAATCTCTCAAGCTGAGCTCTCCTGGCACAATGTGAACTGCTTGCAGTGTTGATGCCAGAGAATTAGAGCTGGGGGTTAGTGGCGGTTCCCAGGAACGTGCTCGGGAAGGAATTGTTCCGCATTTTTGGGGCAGCTCTGAGAAATGGCTTTGCTCCTGTTCCTTCCGGGCAGTGGGCGCACAGTAGGCAGAGGTTAGATCCCTGTGTCCCCATGGGCTGTGAGAAACAGACTTTGCCTTGCTCTAGGGTTGGAGAAATTCTCTGACTCAGATTGCTGCATTGGGCTGGAGTTGGCAGAGTTCTCAGACCGCATCAGAACAGCAATCTTTGGTGACGTGACTTGGCCCTTTTTTGCCAAACACTTTGTGCGTCTGGGAAGCAGTGGCAGACTCCCCTCTCCAGCGTGGATTAAAGGAGCGGAGGGCTTCCCCAAGAGTGTAATCTAATCCAGAGCCAATTTAAGCCTCAAGTCATAAATGACACGCACCAACAAGCTGTGTACGTAATCGATTCTAGCTGCTGCTGCTCAGTGCCCACGACCAGAATGAGGGGCTTGTTGCTGGAATTACTGGGCTAAATTCTATGGAGCTGTGTTATGCAAGAGGTCAGAGTAGGGGATCAAGTGGTCTCTTGCCTTGTTCTCTGAACGCAGTAAAAAGATAAGATTTTGGAAGTGCCAGTAGGTTGCAAGCTCCCTTCCCCAGACGTGATCTGTGTGGAGAGACTGGCCTGGTCGCCATTGACCTGGGTGTGTTTCTTCCTGCCTCTCTCCTCCAGCTCTTTTGTTCCATGGCTGCCACCTTCACCCTGAACTTCTTCCGCTCCGGGATTCAGTTCGGAAGTTGGGGATCTTTCCAGCTACCCGGGCTGCTAAACTTCGGGGAGTTCAAGGTGCGTTGTGCTTGCTTTACTGCCTCTCCAGTCGCCCCCGGTGGTCACTGCTGGCTTGCTTTGTGAAACGAATCCACGCTGTGAGTTGAAATCCGGCCGAGGGGAGCGCCGGCTGGAACGGCCTAGCTGCTCCCTGGAGAAAGGGGAAAGCGGCTGCTCTGCTTTGACAAAGGCAATGAATCTGGTCTGTGGTCGGTGCTGGTAAATGTTTCCTGCCTGAGGTAGAAGTGGCTGAGGGGTTCGGTGCCTGCTTCGGTACGTCTCCATCTGCTCATTCCTGCATTTCTCCCCCTCTCTTCCCTCCCCTGTCCTCCCTCCCCAGTGTTCTGACTCTGATAAAAAATGCCACCTCTGGACGGCCATGGACTTGGGGTTCTTCATTATGATGGGGATTGTAGGAGGCCTTCTTGGAGCCACCTTCAACTGCCTGAATAAGAGGCTGGCGAAATACCGCATGCGGAACGTGCATCCAAAGCCGAAGCTGGTCAGGTATCGGTGCTCCTTTCCAACTGCCTTGGTGTAATCTCTGTGGGTGTCTGTCTGTCTGTCCTCACTGTCTGTGTCCACAGTGCCTCAAAGAGTAAGAGCCATGGAGACTAAAGCACTGAAAAGTGGGGACTAGGTGAAAGGCTGCAAATCCATCCCAGTGAAATAACAAAACCTAGCAAACCGTATAGCATCTGCACAGAGAACGCTAAGCCAACCTCAGCTACTACAATCCCACTACATCCCTGTAATGACCCTTGTGGTATAAAGGCGCCAGGATACCTTTATGATGAGTATGAAGGGGATTCTTTGAGGCTGCTGTACACAGATTCTATGGATCTCTTCAGTTCCTAGACTAACAATACAGCTTGTGCTGCCTGCGTGTCACCACTGGGGGTCTCCCTAGGTCTTGTCTTGGACTACGTAGTCATGGTAGGAACAGCTGATTATGGGACAGTGCGTTTTACTTAATCGGTTCATTTGATCAGAACATCTGAAGTCAAACTGTGTCCAATCCATTGATGCAGGAAATTAGTGCATAATTCAAGCTCTGGTTACAGGAAATTACCATTTAGCTAACAAGGAAGAGACACATTTTGAATGATCCAGAAAAGCCCATGGAAGGCAGCTAAAAGCTTGTCTGTCAGACATTGCTATGGACGCTAGCCTCACCATGTGCTGTTCAGGCCAAGAGCCCTACCCTGGGGGGCATGTGGATAAGGAGCAGCAGTGGCTGAAATTGGAGGAAAGGCTCTAGCAACATCTCTCAGATCCTAGTGTGGGCCTCTTGGATTAATGTGATGGCAGAGAGGGTCCGTACAGGGCAAGCCCAGTGCTGAGTTAAATGACACGGTGTCCAAATACTCTCACCAGCCAAAGAGCTTTCAAAGCCTGTCATCCCATGTCAGAGGAGGGGCCTCCTGGCCTACACTGGCTTCTTTACTCCTGATTGGATGGATCCCTCTGCCCAGCCTGCATGGCCGGTCGGAACGAACATGATCACTAGACAGACTGTCTTGCAGAACCTAAAGTGACCTGCTGTCTGCTTAGTGGAGCCACAAATTGCTGGTTACTGTAGCTTTTTCAGAGCAATGTTGGACGCAGGGCTGTGTGCAAAGACCAAGGGCTTGATTAGTCTGAGCATGGTTGTCCCTGCATGGTTTCTGCTTTGTGCTTGCAGAGTCTTGGAGAGCCTGCTGGTGTGTCTAACAACCACCGTTGTAGTGTTCGTAGCTTCCATGATTCTAGGAGAATGCCGGCAGATGTCTTCCACCAATCCTAGTGGCAACAGCACTCTGAGCCTTCAGGTAACACTCGTCCTACAGAGGGGCACAGTCCCCACCGCCCCAGGAAACACGCATCTGTACAGTGTGTCCATGTAACGCAACCTCACCTACATTAATATACACCCTTCATAGACTCCCCCACAGAGCTTCACTAACAGACTCCATCACCTATAGGTATAGGCCTGCATGCACTGATGAAAGCCAGATGCGTGAGAGAATATTGCCCCCTGGGGCAAAGTGGAGGCAGTTGTGTATCTGGGCTCATTTCAAGTCCTGTATCCTCTGTCTGGATGTGATTTCCCTCAAAGGCAATGCTGAAAGGGGTGTGTGTGTGTGTACACTCCGGTCCTGGTGGCAGCTCCCAGTGGGGCGTGACTGGATTATATATTAACATAATGTCTGATTTGCTGTTGGTTAGGGCTCTTCATCAGAGGACGTGAATTCAAGCATCAAGACTTTCTTCTGCCCCAATGAAACCTACAATGACATGGCAACGCTCTTCTTCAACCCCCAGGAGTCAGCCATCCTGCAGCTCTTCCACCAGGATGGTGAGTGTCCAGGAGATGCGGTGCTCAGGTTCCCCGCCAGCATCATCAGAGTCTTGTCTAAGCCTTACCTGTGGTTCCATGGGAATCGGAGAACTAAAAGCCTCTTCAGATTCCTGCGGTTTTCAGGGCCTGCTGAGAAACAAGGCTAGGGCTCCAGCTGCAGTGAATAGGGCCTGCGGTCTTAGCTTCTCCCTTGCTCTGGTTCGTCATCCTCACTAGTGCTCATGGGGACTCTGAGACTAAGGAGTTGCTCTGAGGTGGAGAGGAGAGTCTGCTCCGATCCCAGGGGAGGACGTTGTGAGATCCCAGCTTGACCTAGGAGGCCTGTGCCCCTGGGTCATAACTCTTCTTGTGTTGCAGGTACTTTCAGCCCAGTCACGCTCTCCCTGTTCTTCCTTCTCTATTTCTTACTCTCCTGCTGGACGTATGGGAGCTCTGTGCCCAGTGGTCTCTTTGTACCGTCACTGCTTTGTGGGGCTGCCTTCGGACGCCTGGTCGCCAACCTCCTCAAAAGGTGCATTGTTTGCGTGTGCTGTAGAACGCTGCTGACGCTGTCTAGACTCTTGACTGGCTTGGTCCTGATGCCAGGGCTGTGTGTGCTTCCTCCATAGCTACATTGGGCTGGACCACATCTACTCGGGGACCTTTGCACTGATTGGTGCGGCGGCGTTCCTGGGAGGCGTGGTCCGCATGACGATTAGCCTCACCGTCATCCTGATAGAATCCACCAATGAGATCACGTACGGGCTTCCGATAATGATCACCCTGATGGTGAGCACCATGTCTACGCCCCCTCTTGGTTCCTGGCCAGACTTTGGCTTTTCTCTGCTTGGCTGAGGGAGGCTCCCATGCATGTCCATCCTATCCACCGCCTCTCAGGTTTGAGGACCAGGAGTCCTGTGCTTGGAAAGCGGTTGAACTACTACTTTTCTGTCTTTCTAGGTAGCCAAATGGACAGGAGACTTCTTTAACAAGGGCATCTACGACATCCATGTGACCCTGCGAGGGGTGCCGCTGCTGGAGTGGGAGACGGAGGTGGAAATGGACAAGTAAGGATATTGCTCTCGACTGTACCTGTGTTTGAGAACTGATGGTGGTTCTCTGGCCTGGTGGTAAATGCTCTTCAGGATGGGACACCTCCTCTTTTCTCCCTATGGGACTTCATGGAAGCATTGGAGAAGTATCTTGAGATTGTGCATAAAGCCCGCAGTGGGGTGGGAAGCCTGGGGCTTTTCTTGAGAAAGGTGGATGGCGGAGTGATCAGAGTAAAGGCATTCCTGAGTGCTATCCCTTTCTCTGCCACTGTGGACTGGGAAAGTCACCTAACCTCTCTGAACCTCCCTTTTCCCATCTTTAAAGTGGGCTAATATCTCACCAGGGTGGGTTGGTTGGTTAATTGAAATGCATCGCTAATTAATAAGACTGGGACTAGATTAATAAGGCTGGGACTTTTCTGCTTGGAAAAGAGACGACTAAGGGAGGATATGATAGAGGTCTATACAATCATGACTGGTGTGGAGAAAGTAAATAAGGAAGTGTTATTTACTCCTTCACATAATACACGAACTAGGGGTCACCAAATGAAATTAATAGGCAGCAGGTTTGAAACAAACACAAAAGTATTTTTTCACAAAACGCACAGTCAGTCTGTGGAACTCCTTTGCCAGAGGATGTTCTGAAGGCCAAGACTATAACAGGGTTCAAAAAAGAACTAGATAAGTTCATGGAGGATAGGTCCATCAATAGCTGTTTGCCAGGATGGGCAGGGATGGTGTCCCTAGCCTCTGTTTGCCAGAAGCTGGGAATGGGCGACAAGGAATGAATCACTTGATGATTACCTGTTCTGTTCATTCCATGTGGGGCACCTGGCATTGGCCACTGTCAGAGGACAGGAAACTGGGCTAGATGGACCTCTGGTCTGCCCCAATATGGCCGCTCTTATGTCCAGCTAAAGAACCTATTGCTCTTTTAGTGAATGGAGGTAGCAGGGCAGGCTCTGCCAGATACTGTTATAAAATCACTGACCCCTGGGTGTTTCCCCATGTACTCGGACACTTTTGCTTCCTGTAGAACCGCAAAGCCTAGAGGTTGCGACAGAACACAGCAACGAAGGGCTTGGTGAAAACGTTGAGGCAGTACGCAGTTGTTGTTTCATATGAAGTGTCTCTTCATTGGTTTTGTTTTCCTTTTCTGGTGGTGGTGGTGGTGAAGGAGAAGAAACCCTTGCATTGTCCGTCTAAGTTAGAGGGTAAACTCTTTGGGACAGGAGCCTTTGTCATCTTGTCTAATGCATCGCGCACTCCTGTGATGCTATGTAGATAGTGCTGCTGCCTCGGTAACCTTACAGCTGTTCTCTGCAAACAGGGTTTGTAGGAATTGCAAAGGCAGCACTAACGTGAAATGGGTTCCATGGGGTTCTCTCTGGTGCTGGTTCTGCACCATGCTTGTTTGCAGCTAGTGTGTTGGCACCTACAGCTGTGCATTTCTGCATTACCTCAGGCTGAGAGCCAGCGATATCATGGAGCCCAACCTGACGTACGTGTATCCCCACACCCGGATCCAGTCGCTGGTCAGTATCCTGCGCACGACGGTCCATCACGCCTTCCCTGTGGTGACGGAGAACCGGGGGAACGAGAAGGAGTTCATGAAGGGGAACCAGCTGATCAGCAACAACATTAGATTCAAGGTGAGGAGGGAGGTGGCCGCCCAGTACCCTCGGGGATAAGGGGCTTTTCTCTGATCATGGAGGGAGGCAGCTTCCTGGGTCATCTTGGCTGTCGATGGTGCACAAGTCCTGCTTGCCTCAGTGTGCAGCTTGTCCTCGACTTTGTTCCGCAGCCGAATATGTTTTGGTGTCGGGAAGAGTTTCCCAATTTTCTAAGTATGTGGCAGGAGGGATGGAGTGAAGCTGTCGTGCTCCGTGAGGAATTCTCTCCCAAGGGCAGTGGTGGAAACTCGTTCCTTCGGGACACTTACCACTGGGCAGGGTGGGGTGGGCGGGAGTGGAATGCTTGTGAATGTGCCGCGTGGAGCACTCCTGAGCTAGCAAGAGGCTGGGCAGCAGCCGGCCTGTTCCAGCTCTAGATTCTCTCATTTTTAAGAGCGTGAATCCTGCAGTCCTGGCAATACCTGCAAATACAATTCCTGGGAGAGCTTCGGAGCAGCTAGCCCTTTGCTGGCGACTTCGTTCAGATCAGAGCGGGTTAATTCTTGCACTCCGTGCCTAGAGCACTCAGATGTTCTGCACTTTACCTGATTCCTGACCCCCTGTTTTGCACGAGACCGGTGTCCCTTGTCTAAAGGTTCTGCTCACCCCCCCAGAAATCCAGCATCCTCACCAGAGCTGGAGAGCAGCGCAAGCGGAGCCAGTCCATGAAATCTTACCCCTCGAGCGAGCTGCGCAACATGTGTGATGAGCACGTAGCGCCAGAGGAGCCGCCCGAGAAGGAGGATTTGCTGCAGCAGATGCTAGAGAGACGGTGAGACCCCGGGGGGTGGCGATGGTTTGAAACACAGTGGGGTTTACCTATGGTGCTTATGTGGTCCCCGTTACCATAGTAACTGAGCGCCTCACATCTTCTCCTCACAGTGCACTGTGAGGCCGGGCCAGGCCGTTAGCCCCATTGTACAGATGGGGTGCTGAAGGAGACTAAGTGACTTTCCCAAGGCAAGGACTTGTCACTGCAGCAGAGCAGGGACTTGAACCCAGCTCTCCCAAGTTGTAGGGCTGGGGCCTTAGCCACTGAACCGTTCTTCCTCTCTCTTTACTGTGCTCCAGCCCGGTCATCTCCACACCTTACGACGTCTCCGTTCCTCCTCTAGACTTCCCTACTGGCTCCTGCAGGTGTACCTGGGAGTCTCCTAACAGCTGCCCCTCTTCCGTAAGGGGACGTGGTGATTGTGAAACCAGCCAGCTGTATCTGCAGCACGGGCGGTGGCAGGGCAAAGTTCCCCCCTTGTGTGCCTCGCCCTGCCTGGGTGATCCCTGCTGAGCTAGCAGCCAGTGTCCTCCTGCACTGGTCTGGTTTCACAATGCGGACAGCAGCCTGCTGGGAGCTGGGCGGAGACCCCCATCTGAGTTTCACACATGTGTGTGGTTTAATGGTCAGAGCAGGGACTCCGTCCAGGTTGGGAAGGCTGGTTTCTGGTCTGCTTCTGCCACTGAGTTGCTGTGTTGGGGCAAGTCACTTAACCCTCTGCCTCAGGTTCCTGATCTGTACGAGAGATGGGCAAGTGTTTTTCCCCATTGTGAAGTGCTTTGAAATGCTTGCGTGAAAGGCACTCCGTGTGGGCCAAGCACTTCACAGCGTCAGACAGTAACCTATTTTGGTGGTTCTGTTCCTCTGCCATTGTTACTTTTAAGTACTTCCAAGCAGTACCCATTGTAACAAGTGGTGTGAAATCTGTCACAGATACACTCCCTACCCCAACCTGTACCCAGACCAGTCCCCCAGTGAAGAGTGGACCATGGAGGAACGCTTCCGACCTCTGACCTTCCACGGCTTGATCTTGCGCTCGCAGCTGGTTACCCTGCTCGTCCGAGGAGTCTGTTACTCTGAGAGTCAGTCGGTGGGTCTTGCAGATTCTGGGGCAGATGAGGATTCTCTTGTGGGAAGGGAGGAATTGGGAAGACGGCATCCCCGGGGGCTGCCATGCAGTATTTTAAACTCCATTGTCCCCTTAGAAGCTGCAACGGGTAGAACAGTGAATCCTCCCTTAGTGAGAACTACGCCTGTTACGTAACTGTGCAAGCACAGGGAAAAGGCACAGCTACCAAACAGTAGCAGCTTCTCTGTGAAAATGCCCAGTGCACTGCGTAGAGGTGACATCCCCTCGTGGGAGTGGAGAAGGGGAGGGGTGAGGTCTGACTGCCCATAGTGCACCCATCAGCATGGGGTCATTGTCCCCCGTGTCTCTGCCTCTCAGTGGCTTGCTGGACAGATGTATCTCCGTGCGTGTAGCAAGCGAAATGATCCAGCCTGTTTGGTGCCCAAGTCCCGCAAAGTATCTCCATGGATTGGAGAGAAAATCAGTCCTTTCCTCTCCTCTGCCAAAAGTGTGACTCCTTGTATTGGTTAAGTGTCCTGCTCCGTTGTGAATGATCTCCAAGAATCCCTCTCCAGACACGTGTGTAACTCCCTGAGCCTGTCGGGGGACCTGGAGGGTTGCTGAGAGCTCCAGTCTCGCCTGTGCTCTCGCATGGCTTCAGCCGCTTTAGGAATACCCTTTCGGAAGGGTGATGCTTCTCCTCAGCGAGGCTCTTTCATTGTCGAATTGCAGAGCACCAGCCAGCCTCGACTGTCGTACGCCGAGATGGCTGAGGATTACCCCCGTTACCCTGATATTCATGACCTGGACCTCACGCTGCTGACCCCACGCATGATAGTGGTAAGAGATGCCAATGGGAACCTGCTGCCCTGTCATGGTGCCCTTTCTCCCTGATGCACGTTCTCAGGAATGCTCCAAAGACCTCTAAAAATGCTTCCCCGGCCTGGGATTACGGAGACACTTCATACCTAATCTTACTCCCAAATTCCAATTCTGGGCTCCCCGGGCTGCTGCTTTAGGTTGAGCCCAGGTTCAAATCCACTCTGGGTGACAGTGACCAAAAATCCTGCACCTCTGACATCTTGGGCTGAAATACTTTTCTGACCACTTCCTAGCTGCCTGGATTTAACAAATCAATTGAATGTTAGTGGGAGAACAGTTCCTGTTCTCAATAGACTTGACTCTTGGTTTAAGTGAATATGGATCTCACTTGTACCTGTTCAAAATCTCCCTGCTGTTGGATTGGGCCAGCAGGCCCAGGCAAGAGGCCCAAGACTCATGGAGTCTACAGGGCTAAAGCCCCCTCTCATCCCTTCCCTTCCAGGAGAATGGAAATTCACTTTGAAACTACCTGGTAGAAATGACCTCGGTGTTTTCTTCTTGACTCTCCCCAGGACGTCACCCCTTACATGAACCCATCTCCCTTCACGGTCTCCCCTAACACTCATGCCTCGCAAGTCTTCAACCTCTTTAGGACAATGGGGCTCAGGCACTTACCAGTGGTGAATGCGGTGGGAGAGGTGAGTCCATACTGCGGCCGTGTCCTGGCTGAGGGGGGCGTTATGGGGCCTGCCCCATGCTACATTTCAGTCCCAGATTGATGTTGAAGAAACCTGTTCTGACAGCGAGCAGAATGTGACTTTCAGAGGTTGGAGAAACCTCTCTCCACTATATGGTGCTAAGTTTCACCCAATTGTGTCTTAACTGACACCTGCTCACTTGAAAAAACTTTAACTGAGGCTGGTAATAAAGTTGAAACCTTCACGTGTCCCAAGTCTGGATCCAGCCTAGGTTGGCTGTGACTGGAAGCTGATGCTGTCTGATGCCTGTTCAGGGGTCTTAGTCCACTTCCCAGTGGGCAAGGGTCCACTTGACAAAAACCACCTCCAGTGGCACTAATTGCCCTCTGTTTTGGCAGCATCTGCAGCCAAAGAAGACTGAAAGCCCCTGGGAGCGATCTCTCCAGGTTGGGGCACATCCTTCTATTAGACAGGAATTTACATTGTATTTGTAAGAGCTGAGACAGTCAACTATAGAACCAATCCAATTATCCAGACTTGTGGCATTTGCAGTGCCCAAAAGTGCCCATCAGGTGTCCTCAGCTTCCCGTGAACATAGTAAAGAGTCAGCATCCCGGATAAGAAAATCTGCAAAGCATATCAGGACTAACTGCAGGACATGTGCGGGAGGGGGTCTTGCTCGTGTATTGGGTGAGCTGTTGCACTGGTGGGTCTCTTGACAGAGTTTATCGTGACATGAAGCCAAGTTGCCCCAGAGATTGTACGTGCCATCCTCTTATCTAACACCTAGAATTAGCTCCAGTGTATTTCAGGGACATAACTGATGTGGTAGGCAAGGATGAGGCTGCAGAAGCTTTCTCCGAGTGTCAGGATTTCTGATGTTTGCCCCACTGAGCCTGCTAGTGGAAAGCGAACATTGCAAGCAAGAGCTATTGAGCGGTCACACATTTTCTATTGTGGCCCTACAGAGTATACAGAAGGATCCTAGCACTGATCTTTAAATGCATCCCCATTCTGCTGAACACCTTCTGGTGTTTCTGCCACTGACCGCACTTCACAAGGTTTAAATCTTCCCCCAGCCGCTTGTGAGGCAGAGCAGCGCTGTAGGTGAGGGCAGGAGACCAGGAAGCACCCAGCACTTTACCTTGTTTAGCCTTCGTCCTCTGGCTCTCCTGGGTTGCCTAGAATTTATTGCTGCTACCGACAGTCTCCCCATGTGACGTCCCACAGTGGGGTTCATGGGCGTCTCTCTAGTACACCCACACGAGGGTGGTGCTGGCCAGAGGAGCCAGCGGATGGACTCTGAGGCTAAAAAGGCAATTAGCTAAAATGTCTTGATACAGAAGTGCCTAATGCTGCTGGCTCATGAGGAGAGTCCAATACATCTCTGGGCCTGAGTCGGCCCTTGTATTGGCCCTTACAGTAAAAGTTAAGCTGGGTAGAAGTGGGGAGAGATCCTGGCTTTAGCTGCCTTTGTAGCTGTAGTCTGATGGTTGCATTTCCTATTCTGAGCATGGAGCTGTTCCTGGGGGTGAGGACGGAGGGTGTTGAGGACCCGGTCATGTACAGCTGGGCTGTGACCAGACAGGCAGCTTCAGTAGAGTGGGTGTCCAAAACCATATGGCACTGAGGAGTTTCTTTCCTAAATGATGCTCTGAGGTGTAACTAGCACCATCTAGAAACGGCTGAAAATAGATCAAGCAGCTTATGCATGATCTTAAAGTGGGGGTGACTAGAAACCTGGCTACTTGGACCCCTACGGAAGGTGAATTGAAAGAAACTGATCTAGAGACGGTTTCACTCTTTTCTGCAGAGACTGGACAGCAGTAACACATTGGCCAAAAGCGTTCCTTTTAGCTGCCTCACTGTAAGCATCCTCTCTTTCCCAACGTGCTGAGCACCTGCTGCTCCCAGTGATGCACTCAGCACTGCCGGTATTCTGGCCACAGAGGCGTCCAACTCGACGCACCTGACTTTGAAAAAGTTGGCATCATTATATAGCTCACGAAGCAATACCACCCCATATGGGCAGTATTACACCAGTTTCAGATGGAGAAAGTCTGAGGTTGGTGACTTGTCTGTGGTCTCGACTGTATGCAGATTTTGTACCAATGTAACTATTTTGGTTAGTGGTATGATTTTCCTGCAGATATATAGCTATATTAGAACAACGCCTAGGGTATAAAAGTGCCTTATACCAGCACAGCTTATTTCCCTTCCCATATGGTTATAAAGTACCTTCATGCTGATATTACTACATCCATGCTAAGGTTGTGCTACCATTATACCTGTCTAGTTACATTGGCGTAACTTTTGTGTGTAGACAAGCCCTAAGAAAGAGAATCCTGTCAGAGCAGGAATTAGAGCTTGAACCGGCTCCCAGCCCTGAGTCTAGACCAAGCCTCTCGGAGAATTGCCCGAGACTTCTCACCTGGTTTTTCAGGTCAGCCAGAAGAAACACTACTGCTTCCTCTCCTCCACCAAGCCCTTGTCACCTAACGTGAGTCGGTGAGACTGATTTGTATGGTTTCCTCTCTCCCCTCACCAGATTGTTGGAATAATAACTCGACACAACCTGACTCATGAATTTCTGCAGGCAAGACTGAGACAGCACTACCAGACCATCTGACCCTGCTGTCGGTATGGCTCCCTCCTTCCTCCAAGCCTGCACGTGCCCTCGCTTTCTGCTTGGATGCCCCATGTCCAAGGACACGATGGTTGGCTTCTCTCTCACGCAGTCTGGGGACCAGAGAACATGTCGCTGGCAGAGAGCAGAAGAGTTATCTAAGTCCTGAGCTGCCGGCCGGCCCCAGAGAGGTGCTTCGTTTGACTGCTCTTGGCCAGAACGCTCTCTTCTCTCCTGCCGTCTCCTTTCATCAGAAGTTGCCCTGAGACTGCTCTTCCTATAGAAATGCCTGCAGTTTGGAGGGTAACAATCTACACCATGTCCCATGTGGAGGAGTGCAGCGAATTTCCCCTCCCCTCTCTTGTTGATTTCTTCTCCCTCCCCAGTTCTGCTGCAGTAGTTGCCTTACTCGCACGAGGAGGGGTCATTGTCAAAGCTGAGATCACCCACTGCAATTTGCTAATGTCCTCCAACACTAAATTGCTGGTTATTCTCAGTGGCATTAAAACTACACCTCCTTGGGGGGGTGGGGAATTTTCTGCCATCAGGAACTCTTAATTTTTCACTCTGGCTTCATGTTTTTCAGTTCAGTTCTTAAAGCCCCTAATTTCTTAATGTCCTTCAGGCGCTGGAATCCCTGCTATGGATTTGTCTGACAGCAACTGGCTGCTGAGAGCATCTGGGCAAGTCAAGAATCCCAAAACAACTTGGTTCTAATTACTGGTCTGGATTAGAAACCCTTAATGCACCCCCAAAACAACTCGGAAGAGAGAAATCCCGTCAACCTCCTTCGCTGTTGCCAATGATTCCCCTTAGAAGAGAAGCCTTTTATAAGGCACTCTTGTCCCTTCCCTCTTTGGAGCATTATGTAGTGCCCTGCTGCAGAGATCCATTGATAAGAGCCTGGTTTCACTCAGGGGTTCTGGATTCCAGGGGCATCTTTACAGTTAGGGCTGTGGAGATGGAGGAAATCTCTTTTCTCAGCCCGGCAAGCCCCGAGCTCAACATGGGGCAGAGCATGAGCGTTAGTCCTCCAGCTCAGATTCAGCAGCAGTGTTGGCTTATCTCGGTTTCACGGAAGGAGAAGGTGCGATTCATGCTGCGGCCAGGCAGAAGGGGCTCTGGGAGGTTGTGACTGCCTGCCAGCCAGCCAGCGCTCTGCAGAGCGGTTAATGGAAGGGCTGCCGGCAGCTCTGCAAGCACTTGGGCTGTTTGTTGCAACCGCAGAATCACCTGCAGGGTAAAGTCGGCACTTAGGAGCCAGTCGCAGCCAGTCTGGTGCTCTGGCAGGTACCATCCTGGCAGCACCTGTGTCGTTCCAGCAGGCTCCTGCCCTTGTGGGTTTTGCATTCAGATAACTGGGGGAAGCCAGCCTCATGCCTTCAGGGGCTACAGAACTGATTGGCTTGATAAAGCACAGAGCATTCTTGCTGCCTCCGAGACTGGCCCAGCTAACCTGGGGAATGCATCCCAGGAAAGCTTCCCCACAGCCCTCTGACCAGCCCTTTGGTTAACCTGTTCCACGCCATACTGGGCTTTAGCTAGCTGCGGAAGGAGCTACTGTTTTAGGAGTAAAACTGAGCCATCTTGAGGACTCTTCCTTCCAAGCGTAGAGGGATTGCAAAACCTGTTTGCACGTGTCAGTGGCAGAGTCTGTGATCTGCCAGCTGAGTTTGTCTGGGGAAGCTGTATGTTCCTGTGCTGGGCCGCGCTCGTGAGGGCTGTGGCATGCACAGCCATCTCTAACTTCTCTAAGGTAAGAGGTAGTGTGCACAGAGCAGAAGTGCCCTTCATTAAGCAAGTCTCTTTTAGGAATTGGTGAAGCTTTCCCCTGCAGCCCAGGTGGTGGGTGGCTGAGTAGGTACAGGGAGATCCAGTCTCTGGGGGTATTTACACCAGAGCCAAATCATAGGAGCTGGTTGCAGTTTGTGTTGTAGATAGGAGATAACTGTTGTATCTGCATTACAGCCTGGACGAAAGAAGTTCCCCTGACTCAATTCTGACGTGTATAGTGGAGGATGGGCCCCTAGCGGGCAGGGCAGGGCTCACCTACATATTGGTTGATTCACTTTGGAGATTTTCTTTAGTCACTTCCAATGAAATCCAGCAAACCCTTCCCTGGGTCTTGTCTTTTCCTTTCTATCTCCCCTCTTCCAAGACTGGCGGCAGACTTCCTGTGAAGCCCTGTTCCTCCCTGAGTCTGGAGCAGAGGCCTTGGCCCTCCTTGCGTATCCTGCTGAGTGGAGAGGGAGGAGCCTTGCTACATGTCATACAAAACTTCCCTTCTTCAGCAAGTGACTTTCACCCTCCTGGGTCTATCTGGTTATAGCAGGTACCATCCGAGTTCTGCATTCCAGCCCGGGTGGCGTCCTGTGTGACCAGGGTGCAGGGAACATGTTCCTCACACCTTCCCCGCCTCTTCCCCCCCCCCCCACCCCCCCGCCCCCCGGCCGCCCCCCTGGCCCCCAGGCCCTTTGGAATGGTGGAGAAGAACCTTCCAGGGTAGCCCAAATGGTGTGTGTTGATCCTTCAGCTCCCCAGAGCGAAGTAAAGGCATCTTCCCAGGGCCAGCACCTATCTTGTACCCCTTCCCCTTGGGCTCCACAGCTGTGCTGGGAGTGGCACCCTCGTACTTCTTCAGGCCCATCTGAAATATGACTCAGTCCCAGCTGCCCATTCAGTTCTTCAGGGAGATCTTTAGTTAATGGAGTCTAAATGACTGTCAAGAGGGTTGACTTTGGCTTGTGCTTTTGACTTAGGGGGTGCCTTGCTCTACCTAAGTTGACTAAGGGTCTTCAGCCTGTTTCACCCATATCTAGAGCGGGCTTGTCAATAACTCACTTTTCCTGTGCTTTGGGGCAGGAGGAGTACTGGTTTCCATGGCTTGAAAGAGACTGAACTGGTCCAAGAAACTCCAGGACATATCCCCTCCCCCATTCTCCCCCAAGGTGAACTGGAAGTTTGAAATACGTGTGTGTTGCACTAGGTTCTGGCACCTAGACAGTCCCACAGTGCAGTAAAGCAATCCCACTTCATTAGGGTTACCTTAGCGATCGGGCATTTAAGGCACAAACCACAAGATGCGGCAGCCATGTGCACCCTCTATCTCTTCATAAGCCCAGTGAGATCCGGTCCCTCTCCCTCTACTCAGTTGCTGTGTGAGAGTTCACTTACCTCCCTGCCCCCCCCCCCCCAAAATAGGGCTTGTTAACGTTGTCAGTCGCCTTTGCCAGTCATGTCCTGTTTATTCAGTACATGAGTCGTGGCAGTATATTTTGCCACACCATGTCTTGGCCTCACTAATGAGGTTATGGAGCTAGGAATCCCAGGCAAGCTGAGCTGAAACATCTTGCTCAGGTATTTCTGGGACACCAGCTCTGCCTTCCCTTACGAAGGGTGCGGACTCCACCCCGTGCTCGGCCGCACCTGCTCTGCCTAAGCATCCGTCTTACTAAAAACCTATCGCTCGAGGTAACCAGTTCCTTTCGCTGGTGCAGCCAGGAGAACGTAACTGGCCACTATGGCACTCTGCTAGCCGCTTTAAAGAAATTCACAAATGGACTCGCCAGCTGTGCTCAACAATATTGCATAGAGCCCATCGCAGGGAAAGTTCCTCTTTCAGAAATGAAGGGGTGCCTGGATGCTCTTCTCTGAGTGGGGTTCTGAGATGCAGTCCAGCCAGCGGCTCTCGCATGTGCCACTTACGAAGGGTGCAAAGGATCCCGGATCCTCTCCTCAGTTGAGACTGCTCAAACTTAGCTGACCACTGAACTCCCTTCTCGCAAACCTTAACTGCTTCTGGTCTGGCACTGATTGCTAAACAGCTGACAAAGAAACTCTACGGGTGCCTGTTGTTCTTATCAGAGTAACACTAAGGGGGAGAGTCCATATAGTGGATCAGTGTTGATGGCAGAAGCTTGGGATAGTAGAGGGTGCTGTCTCCTGCTTCCTGTGCAGTGTTAACGCAGGGTAGCAAGTCTTAACTCCTCTGTACTATGAGCCATGCCAGGGGCAGCCACTTATCATTTGTTTTGCACTGTTTTGTTACGAGATGATGTAAGCTGATTCCACGGTGTATATAAACTGTATTTTTGTTAAATTTGTATGAATATATTTTTTATTTGAACTTTGGCACTTGGGATGTCGTCCTGTAACCATAACGTCTGAGAGTAAAATGTCGTCGTGTGTCCTTCTGCACCTGCTGGGCTCTGTGATCTTCTTCCTCCCCGTTGGATGGTTTGTTTAAACTTTATTTATTCCTCCCAATAATAAAAATGGTCCAACAGCCATAGATCCAAGAACCTATGTTTTCAAGGGAGGAAGCCATGAATGCTGTTTACTATAAGCTTTTTGGCCAGGGCCCTTGGCTGTTTGTATTGGAAGGCACACTACAACTTGGTCTCGCCCTACTGTTTCAGATAACTGGTCAGTCTAGGTCCATCTCCTCTGACAGGGGCTAGTTCCAGCTGCTTATGAGAAAGGAGGACGCCTCCCCCTAGGCAACCTTTTCCTTCTCACCCTGCTGCCCCTCTTCCCCAGAGATCAGGATTTGGTTTGGGTAATTCTGGAGGTTCTAACTACCCATCCCACTGTCTGATCCTTTTTGGAATCCTTGCCAAGTTCATGCCCAATATATTAATTTCAGCAGGACGATACCTCCAATTCCATACTCGGTGACTTCATGGGAGAGCTTTGTCGTTGACTTCAGTGGCAACAGGATTGGTCCTACATGGTTTATAGATGGTCCCTCCTGCAGTGGAGAGGATATTCTGCTCTCTTAGCTGGCCTCCCTCCCCCACCCCAGTAAGCTTATAAAAGGATCTAAGTATCCAGCTGTTTCCTTCGCGAAGGCAGGTTTGGGTATTGCTGGCGCCCTAACGTCATCCTTAGTGCTTGTAGGGGGGCTGGGGCTGGCTTGACTGTATCTCAAGTAGCTGTGCTACCATCTCTGTCCAATAGAAAACACAAGCTGAAACAAAACTCAGCCCTCGTCCCAGTAGTAGTTGCCATAAGGCAGAGCTGCTTAAGGTGTGTCCTAAAATGTCATTTGTGGAGCTGGCAGCGGCAAGTACAGCCCCCCTCCCCCTCCTTTGCATGTGAGCTGTAGCATGACGATGGTAGTAACGGCCTCTTAGTTCTCCGCATCCTATGCAACACTCTTGCTGTGCGTTGATTTATTTTAACCTTCGACTGTATGCAGATGCTGCCCTCTGCCTCCTGCTGAGTCACCAACCTACACTCTCCTGGGTGGGCGGGATGGAAATTGGCACCAAGCATCATCTTTTGGCAGGGAGCCACTGCAGTGGTTGGGCCCAAGGGACTGACAGGGACACACCTGCCCCCCTCCCCCCCCAAAACATCCCCAGCAGGCGTGAAATAGATGCCAGACACTTGGCTACAGCATTGTCAGCTTAGGGACTGTGCCGAGGTGTCAGGATTGTATGTAGGTGGGGGGGTTATTTTTTCATAGGACAGAAGCAGCAAGTGTCTTGCTTGGAGAAGAAAGGCGTAAGCTGGTTATAGATAACTGTGTTTGGTTTTATACTCTGCACAGTTGAGTTAATACAGCAGCTATAATACCGTTATTCTTAAACCAGCCCCTGCCTGTACTCAGACTTAAATGGGGTTTATAGGCTTATTAATCCGAGCGCTTGTTAGGAGACCCACAATACCTTTCAATTGCTCATATTTAGCGGGTACATTAGTGCAGGCCGGTGAGATTTTGTTGTGGTCCTCTTAACTGAATATGAGCTACATTTTTACACACACAGACAGGTCATGCAGGGTATGGAAAAATTAACAGTAGCCTTTTATTGCACTCATTTATTTGATGAAAGAAACAGACCTGCACTTTCTGTCCAAGGTGCTGAAATCTGGGCTGGAATTCTTTTCAGTGACAACGGACTAAAATTATCCTTTAACCCTTACACTTCAGGGAGAAAGCCAACATCCTGTACATTGTTTGACTCATAGTGCCGGGGGGCAGAGGGGGGAAATTGTTTGTAAATGGGTGAAGCCAGATGGCAGCTGAGTTTCGCCTACTGTCCCTGCTGCAACATAAGTTACCAGCGAGGAGCTAAGAAGATGCAGTTGACTTTGGAAGAGCTTCGATGTCCAGGGATCTGAGGAAGAAGATTAGGATTGCCCCCATCTCCAGGTATAGCTTCAAAACTGAAGGAGAGAGAAAAAGACAAGTAAATGTAGGGGTGGTACATTTCTTTATTCTTTGAGGGGTTATTTGTACTAGCGGAGCATAACCTACTGGTGAGCGTGTTACAGATAGGGAACTTGAGCTCAAGTACATCAGCTTCTGCTTTTAGCTCTGAAGTTCCCTGGTTCAATCACCAGTGTGTTGCTCAAACAGTGGTCATCATAATAGCACCTAAAGTTACGGAGAGCGGGATCCCGGTGCGCTAGGTACTACACACACACCCACCCACACCCACACCCACCCCCACCCCCACCCAAGAGACTACACTCAAGGCAGCTAGAGAGTGGGAGAATTATTATTCCTATTTAACAGAGCGGGAGTTGGGCTACAAAGAGATGAAGTCACTTGTCACACAGGAAGTCTGTGGCAGAGCCAGGATTTGACCCTAGATCTCCTGAGTCCCACCATTCAACAATCCTTGCTCTTAAAAACCAGCTGAATCCGAAGGAATGCAAGGCAGGGTTTTAAAGGGTGGATAAAGACAGGAGCAACTTAAGCAGCCGCTGGTGCATCAGCAGCCCCTTCCCATTGAGAAGCCCGGCAGCATCCCTTTTTTCTCTTATTTTTTTCCCTCCGGGTCCCTTTCCCCCATCCTCCAGCTGGGCTGCTGCAGTGCTAAATGTTTGGGCCCCTCTGTCCTGAACTCATCACAAACGAGGATGGAAGCTGGTTCCTTTTTAGTAGCTCATTTAAGCTTTGAGAGGAGCCTTCCCATGGTTTGTGACTAGCTGGGATTGTAAAGTGGTGGGAAGGTAACACATCGTACTGTGTGCTGCACGTGATCCTGAACAATGCCAGAGCGGGGCTACTTGAGCAGAATACCTAGAGCTCGGCTAAGACAGGAGTAAGATGTGGTGGTGAAGGCATAAATGTTTAAATCCTTGAATCACACAAAGAGCAATGAGGCACTGGAATTGTTCAGTGTGGTTCACCGGGGGCTAACCTTTCATCATTACAAAGTGTTATCGGGTGAGACCAGGACCTTGAAGAGGCGAGTTAGCTACTGTGATGACTGTGCAGTCAGTGTAGACAAGGACAATTGTGTTCAGTGCCGTGCTGGGACGCGGGTGTAACCAGGACTAGCTAACATGATGCTGTACAGGATTTGCCCTGGTCTATGCTGACTGCAAAGTTGTCCGCGTCGTGCTGGTTGATCCTTTGAGGCTGGGATCTAACCTAGTAAATTTTGCATCAAGGACGTGCCCCATGAACGATGTGCTGAAATGAAGAAAAGGCGGCATTTGAGTCTGAATAGTGAGGGAAACTTACTGGCCCCGATACCTTTTAAATAGGAGACGAGTCTCCCGTAGGAAGAAGAGGTAGAAACTCCCTCAGGTTGGATTGTAAAAACTCGACCGAGCAGAATGCTCGATGTTGAAGGGGGACAATGCTGTACTGACCCCCAAGAGATGGACTTTGATTTCTATGGTCCTTACGGTGGAAGATTCCATTGCTCTGGAATCAAATGCATCCTTCTTGAAAGGATTCTATCTAGGGTGGTTCTTGTGGCTGGTGTCTGAGTGCACCATTCCACCGGGGTTATGTGTTCTCACTGCAGCACTTTATGTTAAATTAGGGAACTGACTGCTAGGGACTCAGCCAGAAAAGGACGCAGTCTTCATTATCGTTTCTAAAAATGGAAATTTCCTAAAAGTTCAGAAAAGACATGTAAGAGAGAGGCTCACTGTAGCTAGAGCCCCCAACCCATTTTAAGTCCCACTGTTTTTAAAATTATCCACCTGGACGCTGCACCACAAGAACAAGAGAGTTGGCATAGGAGACCCCTCAAAATCCATCTTCCATCTTTTAACCTGAACTAGACAGTCCACCTTGACTTCCTGGGAACTCTGCCCAGAGCGTAACATTGCTTCATCCTTACTCTATTGCCCCAGCTGTGCTTGAGTCATCTAGCCCTTCCCTCTCCCTCTTACCCGGTAGCTGTTGCATCCAAGTCCGCTCTGGGCTCCTATTCTATCTATCCGTTGGCCAAAGCAATCCGAGAACCTTCTCGTGCTGCGTGGCGAGTTCAGCAGTGCTCGTAGCTTGCTCCTCAGGGCAGACGGAGGTTTCTCGGGCAGCTCCCAGCTGTTGCGCCCATAGGCCAGGCCTTCTCTTTGGGGTCTAACGTAGTCGCTGTTCCTTGAAGCAAGGGGGCGTGAGGCATCTCCTGGGACTTCCTCATCCTGTTCGTTCATGTCTTGGGACAGACCTGCCTCTGCTTCTTCTGATGGGAGCTTGTCCTCCAGGCGGTCCAGCAGGGTCTGAAATGCAGACAGGCAGCGGGGGAAGATAGCGTTTAACCCTAGAATCGCCCAAGGGGACGGAGTGAATGGCAAAGCAGTGCACACCTTCCCCGCTCCCCCAGCCCTTGGTTGCAGTGCGTTCTGACAGCGATGCCTGCTGCCCTACCTTGAAGTCAGCCAGTTCAGCAGCGGAGGCCGAGCTGTACACGGGATGAGCTTTGGCTCCTCCTTGGGGCTTCATGGTGAGGAGCAGCAGCAGCAGCGGGAAGCGCAGGGCAGCAGCCGTCAACGAGCCCATGCTGTAGTCCACGTTCTCCTCTCGCCTCCGGTGGTTTGCCCCCTCTCGCTTATGGGCTGCGATCTTGACCCCTCCCTTCTTATACGAGCAGAGTCAGAAGGAGTCACGCCCAAGGAATGAAGCCCGCCGCATTCTGTCACTTGCCCGCGATAAAGGATCTTGAGACCGGAGCTGGCAGAAGATTCCCTTTTAAAGTTATCCAGCCCCTTGGGGCGGCGAAGGCTCGTCGGCTCCAGCGGGAATGACAGTGCGAGGACCGCATTCCTGTTGATTTGTCTCAAGAGGTTTCACACTTCAAAGGTGTGAGAGAAGCACCAAAAAACAGCCCCCTTTATCTCTCAGCAGTGCCTCCGGATTCTTGTTCCTTAACGATGGAAACAATGAGGCAAGTGTTGGACAACTGGCCAGCAAGCCTCGAATGGGCATCGTGGTGGGGGATGCAGGAGAATTGGCTGCAGAGCTGCCATTAAAGCCAGTGACCTAGACACATGGGGCCAGGTCCTCAGCTGGTGTAAATCAACACAGCTCTTTGGGGCCGGATCTCTATAGATTGGCTGAGCTCCATTAATTCCTGCACCAGCTGAGAATCTGTCCCTTCTGTCCCATTCCTTGCAGACCCAGAACCGTTTAACACTCCTGTCAGCGTGATGACAGGGCTTCCAGCTCGTGCTTCCGGAGGCCTGGGATTTCATTCAAGAATGGTGCTAGGAAGGAAGTTGGAGGGGGGTTAGCGGGAGGAGAGAGAACTTTTCAAAGGCTCTTTTTGAAAAGATCCAGCCTCCTTTTCTGAGCAAAGCCTGCAGCCCGGGCGTGCGAGAAGTGTGTAGGATGCCAGGGCAATTTTCTATTTCAGACCCATGCCTTGTAACTGGAACCTGTAAATTGAAGGACAAGACACTGTTGGATTTTGAATTTCCTTTCACGTTTACCACTAGAATACATTAAAGTGATTCTGAAGATGTTACTGTCACATTTAGGGAGAAGTCAGGTGTCATTAGGGCAAGGGACGGGGGATTCTGTAGGACTGGGCAGCTCTGGCTCCCTTTGGTACCTTAGTCAAGAAATGGGACCTCTCTGCCTCAATCTCCCCCTTTGGTAATGGCGGTGATAACACTTCCCTCCCTCCTGGGGTGTTGTGAGCTTTAGCTGATGTTTATAATGCATGCGAAGAGTCTCGGGTGAGGAAGGGGAGATATTTTCGGAAGCTGCTTCTGTATCTGGACTGAATCGTTACTTGGAATCTAATCTAGGGTTGCTGTTTTTAACATCAGCCCTTGATTTGCACGGGTAGCTGTTTGCCCCAAGGGCAGCCTTTGGCTAGACAGTCTGCAGGGGGTTTGCCATTCCAAGCTACGCCGAATCCCTCTCTCCCAGCCGCATCGCCTTGCAGTGCTCCCCAGCTGAACGCTTTGCAGAGGAGGCGTGTTACTGGCTCAGTTGCCTGACTCCCCACGCCTGGTCTTTAGCTGTAGTTTTAATCCCTGACCAATAGCGCCACCTCAGGCTTCCCCTTGAGGGGGTCTCTTTAGAATGGGGGAGAACTTTGCTCTGCTCCGATGCCCATGCTGGGCCCAACAGAATCTCTCCAGCCATTTCAGTCTGTTACCGGACCCTCCATTCCTTCCTTCCCTTCCCCTAACTGCCTCTGAAAGGTGCCAGCGTGAGTGGTCTCCTGAATCTCCATGCGCCAGCAGCTTCCACCACACCCCCGCACCTCTGCTAGTTAACTAACAAGCCCACGGGGGATGGTGAATAGGACTCGGTGCTTATTGTGGGGCCCACGCGCTGCCCTTGGAGTGAGTCTAAGCAGCAAAGACTTTAATGTGTGCTGCACAAGGGCTTACCAGAGCAAGTGCTCCACCTCCCACCCAAAAGACCATGTGCCATGGAAAGGGCAGCTGGGGGCAATGGGTTTTTCTATGCATGCGTGTGCCGTACTTCTTAAGTAGAGGCCAGGCAAGCCCAGTGCTAAACCGCAGTGGAAGTCTCTCCAGGAGCCCTTATGCATGGAACATCCTCCCTGAACTGATCCATCAGGACCCTGCCCTGTGCTGTTTCAAGTCTCCCCTTATCACCCACCTCTGCCATAATGCCTGGAAGAAATCAGCCACCTGGCAGGGCTAGATTGAGAGGCAGCGCGGGCCTCCCGTGAGCCGCATAATTTAAATAGAGGCACTGGGCTGTAAAATCATGTCGGTTTGCAGCTCTCGCTCTCTCTTTCACTTTTTGTGCCTCAGTCACTTTCTCAGAGTGTAAGCTCTTTGGAGCAGGGACAGGGCCTTCATATGTGTATGTACAGCACCTACCACTCTGGGACTCTGCTCCTGCCTGGGCCTCTGGGACCTACCTCACCCTCAATATAAAATAATAACAAAGGTGGGTCTCTAACAAGGTTGCATTGGAAACTGTGGGGGTGCTCTAGCGGGGCCTCAAGACGGGGCATCACCTAATGAAGGGGGCCTTGTTACATGTGTGACCGCGTTGTCTAGCTAGCTAGGCACTCATCAGCATGGTGGGTAGCTGTCCTGCAGAGAGAAATCTGGGCAAGAGATGTGATGCTGAAGGAAGAGTTCTGCTAGCTAATGCCAGCAGAGAGACAGGTTACAATTTTCAATGCTGGGTGCCTAAAGCCAAGCTCCTAAATCCCATAGACTAGAACTGGCCTGATTATCAGAGGTGCTTGAGCTCTTCGTAATACCCCTGAGGTCAATGGCGGCTGCTGGACACTCAGCGCCTTGGGAAATCAGGCCATTAATATTGAAGTGCCCAAAGATAGATTTAGGAAGCAGGTTTTAGGCAGCCAGGGCTGAAAATGGTGACCCTAAGTATCAGCAAGCCAAGGAGGGTGAGGTAATCTCTTTCATTGGAACAACTTCTGTTGGTGAGCGAGACCAGCTTTCACGCATGCACAGAGCTCTTCTGCAGATCATCTTCCTCAATCGCTTGCATGATGGGACTTTGTTTGAAGTTGTGTAAGAGCTTGGGCTGATGATGGTTATTATATGCAGGCCCAGAACAGCTGTCAGGGAGGTAGTACATTTCAGCTAGGCTAGATTCAGGGACCTGGAACTCTGACGTTTCCTACAACGATTTTAAAACTAGCCCTATTTGTCCCTAAACTACAGACAGGATCTTTTAGACAAAGACAAGCAGAGAGTCAAGAGGCCATTTAAGGTCTTGCCGTACAGTTTACATTTATGGTGATGAGCACAAAGTGCAGCTCAGGCCAGAGCAGAGATCTTGGTGGGAAGGAATTGGAGTCACGGTGAATTGCCGCTGCATAAGTGGCTGGGAGTTTGTTTGTGGGTATCAGTGAAGTGGATTAAAGGGCTGGAAAAGTGCAGGGAAGAGAGCTGAAAAAAACAAAACAAAACAAAACCCCTCCAGAGTAACGAGGGACCATCTATATTTTCAAATATGATGCAAACCCAGTAACACTGGGCTACTCTCTATAGTACCTTTCACCCAACCCTCTGAACAAGGTTAATTCGGCCTCGCAAACCCTCCTTTCAGGTAGGAAAGTATTAGTGTACCTACTGTTAGATGGGGAAACTGATGCACAGAGCACGGAAGTGACTTACCCAAAACACATGTGGGAGTGGGTTTGAGAGCCCCAACCACTACACAGGACTGCCCCTCTGGGGCTGATCCTCTCCAGAGCAGACCATGACCTGTCTGGGTCGGGTCACTGCGTCGGTGACACTCCGTTGAGCAGTTTGGCTGTTGCCAAGGACTTTAGAGGATAACGCTCTTGGCGTGTAGAATCCATCAATGCTAAAGTTTTTCCGGATTTATATTTCCTAAACTATCTCCTCTCAGTGGAGCCGCGATCGGAACTGGCTCTGACATTCCCCAGGGGGAGTTTTGCAGTTCGATATGTTTATGTGTGTAGCGATAAAAACCCAGATGCTTTTCCTGGACAGCCTCCGCTTGCAATCTGGTTCTCCCAGACCGCAGGGTCTATTAACATAATACCTGCAGCAAACACAGACTTGTTCCACCAGGAACTGGCTTGCTGTTGATACTGGAGCCACCTGGCTTTAGGTCAGGCAGCTCCGACTCTTCCTTCTATATTTAGCACATTCCACTGATTTTTATGAGTATTTTGCCCCTGGAGGGGGCTGAGCGGGGAGGAATAATTTTCAAAGCCTCAATGTGTCTCCAGAGGTTTTGCTTGATGGCGTGACATGCAGCTCCAGCAAGGACGGGATTGATTGCTAGAGCTGGGATTGTTATTATCTTCCCTTCCCCTGGAGCGCCTCACGTGGGGTCGCTCTGGGGCGTGGGGCTGGTTTCTGGCAGCTCCCGCCTGTCTCGCTGCTGGCGGGTGTGGATGGGTAGGATAGGGCTGTTTATGAAACTCTCTCCTCTAAGAGAAACATCAGGTAGGCCTCGTGTGGTGTATTGCTCACTGAGGGCCTGCTTTTGTGCCCGTTGAAGGCAACGGCAGAATCCCCACTCAGTCCCGTGGAGCTAGAGCCCTTATATATGTGACACTCATGAAAGGTGCCTCATGATTGCACCAGAGAATGAAGTCCCTGGGGCAGGTGCAGCAGCAGGGCCAGCGTCCTCCATGATGACCCTCCAGGAGCAACCACCTCCTGGGATGAAAATGGAGTTTACTCGTCAATCTAGGCTTGTCATCTCCACTGAGATTGCTAACGAGAGAGGTGGGAGGCCAGGCTAAGGAAGCAGGGAACGGGAGTATAAAACCATTTCATAGGATATAATAGTTTGGGGGTGGGGGGGTCTGCCCCCAAACCAAACTCCACCCACTGGTGACATCACTCACAGTAGATTGTGCATAACACAGCTGTCCTCCTGCCCGGATTGCTTTCAGCAGCAGCAAAGGTGTGCCGGGGACATTTGAATGATCCTCCTCATTGCCAGGATGCAACGTTAATGCTCCATTGAGATCAGTAGGGGGCAGTTCAGAGCTATTGCACAGGCTGTGAGCAGACTCAGGCAGACATCACTGCTGCAGCTACACTCAGTTCTCAAGCTGAAGTTTTAAAATGAAACCTCAGATTCTGGATCACAAGATGGCAATACCCTCCCCTCACCGCACACACACAAACTTTCTGTTCTGCCACTGGGAGCCAGTCCAATTTGACCCCAGCAGAAAAGCATTAAAAGCTTTCATTGAAAACCAAATACTCATCTGGGAGACCAACTGAGCAGAACTATGGGCATTAGGCACCCAAATACCTTTGAGGATCTGGGACCAGGTGACTCATCATTCTGTTTGCATGAACAATTGAATTCTTATAAGCATCTTCTTTAACGGACATGCCCAGAACAAAATACCCACCCAGCTCTTAAACTACATTTCCCAGAATGCCAGTGGCCAAGGGTCAGAGTTCACATACCCCTTTCCAGGTATAAAAGCTCCAGCCTCTGTGTGTAACTCCATTACAAGGTGTTTTTGCTACCAAGATAATAGTGAGGGAATGAAGCAACATTGCTCCAGCTGCCTCTGATCATCCCATGGCACAATCAGTCACATAATCAGCTTTACCAACACAACAAGGTACTTTCTTGACAATTAATGTAGGAATTGGGGGTGAGAGGGCAGCTCATGTAACTGGTCTCATATTTACTCTTCCCAGCAGTAATGCCTTTGGTACTCAAAGCATTTCAATATGCATTGGTGTAAATATCTCTCTTTCCCCAATGTATTCTCTGCCTGGGTTAGCTGGAGTCACACCAGCACAAAAGGAAAAATTTGCTGGCCGGTAAGCAGAGGGTAGAACAGGATATCCCCTTCTCCTTACACCTGTATGTGTATTGGTGGTGACCCGAGTTCTCTGTCCCATATCTCCCAACCCCTCTGATCCAGGCAGTCATTGGCTATTATTATTCTAGCAAGACTTGAAACCCAAATATACATCACCGAGGCCTGGTTTATGCTTAAAAGTTAGGTTAGCATAGCTACGGCACTCAGAGGTGAGAAAAGTTCCCTGCCAGGCAGCTGTAAACTATGCCCTGCTGTAGACATGGCTAGATTTGCTGACTAAGGTACAGCTGCTCAGAGAGGTGGTTTACCTACTGCAATGGAAAAATGCCTTCTGACTCTGTAGGATGCATTTATGCTACAGTGTTAGTGCCATAGCTGTGTTGCTGTAGCGTAGACATGGTCCTAGTTAAGTAAGGAGAGGCTCTTGTGCTTTGCAGCCAGCTGGTAATTGTGCTAGTCGTTTTTGCGATGCATTGCTCAGTTAGGAAATGAATTGAGACCAACAGCTCACTTCATGCAAGCCATTGGACAGGGCACGTGCTTACAGCTGCTGTTGCTTCTGCCCTGTGTGGGATTTGAACTCCTGGCCTAGATGTGGAACTAGAACCCTGCAGCCCATTATAAAAACCCCAGGTCATCCCATCCTCTCTTACCCCTTTGAGTATTTATTGCAGCAGGGTTGTCAGTGCCCCACCCACAGGACCTGTGAAGTAGTGGCACAAGGGTAGGCACAGTTGGAAAAGGCCTCACATAATTGGTGGGAAGAGCATGGGCTAGAACCATAGACCAGAGTTGGGCTCGCTTCCTGACATGGCCTTCATCAGAACTAAGAAACAAGTGAGATCCAGTTAGTATCCAGGGGGAGGGATAGCTCAGTGGTTTGAGCATTGGCCTGCTAAACCCAGGGTTGTGAGCTCAATCGTTGAGGGGGCCACATAGGGATCTGGGGCCAAATCAGTACTTGGTCCTGCTAGTGAAGGCAGGGGGCTGGACTCAATGACCTTGCAAGGTCCCTTCCAGTTCTAGGAGATAGGATATCTCTATTAATTTATTTATTACCATGGGCACTAGATAGTGGGGGGGAGGGATAGCTCTAGTGGTTTGAGCATTGGCCTGCTAAACCCAGGGTTGTGAGTTCAGTCCTTGAGGGGGCCATTTAGGGATCTGGGACCAAAAAAAATAGTTGGGGATTGGTCCTGCTTTGAACAGGGGGTGGGACTAGATGACCTCCTGAGGTCCCTTCCAACCCTGATATTCTACGATCGCTGGCATTGCTTCCTCTGTGTAAATAGAGGGACAGTCACGTCAGCTAAGAGTATGTCTACCCAGCAGCCAGGAGCATGCTTCCCAACACAGGTAGACAGAGGCACTTCCTCAGCTCAAGTTAGCGTGCTAAAAATGGCCACGTGGGTGGTGGCTTGCGCTAGCCACCCCATCCCCCAAATACGTGCAGGAGTGGCTAGCCCAAGCTGCTGCCTGCACGGTTATTTGTAGTGGGTGGACAGACACTGTGTCGCTGCCAGGGAGACACACCCTAAGGAGGTAAACTGTGAAACCGCCTCTGTTTAAGAGAGAGGCAATGAATTCCCTAGCCCTCAGCTCTTCAGTTCAGAGCTACCGCGAAGTAACTGCCCTGACGAGTGCTGGACCATTGTATGGACAAAGAACCCTGCTTTGATCCTGTTACATTGTGTTACTGGGTCTTTGCTGTTTGTGGCCTTGTGTTGGGGATGATGTTACCAGCGTGGATTGTCGGTGGGAAGAAGCAGCTCTTTCTAACACAAAAATCACATCGCTCTAGGGTTGTTGTTAAACAGGGGCAATGTATCATTGGGCAGCATGTTACTGATCTTCCCCCGGTACGAGTCACTAGGCCAAATGCAGCGGGGGTAAGTGGGTGCAAGTCGAGTGGCAATCTCTGTGCCAATGTAAGCAATAATATACAGAGCGTCAGTTGCACATCGAGGACAGTTGGTCAGAAACCTGATGTAGCTGGCCGGGTAGCATAATTCCTATAGATCTGCCATGCTGAAGATGAGTGAAACTCGCAGGCTGAAAAGGGGGATGGGGAAGTGCGGTAGGAAAAGCAGCTAGCAAGAGGGTGTGAGACAAAGCAAACCCATCCACACCCTTTCATTTATGGCTGCACCCTTTGGGCCACCTTTAATCTCTGTGGGAGCAAGTATAATTCCCAGGCAGCTTGACTTTCCCCAGCATCGCTCTATCGCCTTCCGTGGGTTACTCCTGTTTTCCACTAGCGTGTTTGAGATCATGGTTAGACCTGCTGGGCCAAATTCATTTCGGCACCGGTGCAGAGACCAATGGCTTGCTGTCCCGTTAGCCAGAACTGTCCTTGGGGTGTGTTGTGAGGAAACGCTGGGGGGGGCCAAGATTTTCAGAAATTGATGCCTAAAGTTGGACACCCAAATAAGTAGCCGTATTTCCAAAAGTGCCTGGAACCCATTGCTTGCATAGTCCTCAATGTAAACTACTGGGGATTAGGCACTTTTGGAAATAAGGCTACTTATTTAGCCTAGGAACTTGATTTAGGTGCCTAAACATGGATTTAGGGGCCTAATTTTAGATAGCTATTTTTGTTTAAATCTTTGGCTGGGCCTGATTCAGATCATGGGTGTAAATCAGGAGTTAAATCCATTGAGGTCGACAACTACATGAGTGTAAATGAAATCAGGATCAAGCCCACAGCATGCATATGGCAGTGATTAAGGGTGAGGGGGTGTCCACTGAAGCTGGCCAATGTTAAACAGAAAGGGCTGCAGAATCACGGTATTTGAACCTGCAGAGTTCAGGAACCTTGCCCCCAAACCCTGGAAACTCTGGTGTAAAGTCCCAGAATGCCAAGGAGTCCTGCCTCCCACTGAATGTGTTTAATGCTGCAAAGGCCACACTTGGGCTGTGAATCTAAAAGCAGCTGATAATGGATTTCTCCCTCGGTGCTTAGAGCCTTAATTTGGTCTGCGCAGTTAAACACAAGCAATTAGCCATCCTCCACCACCCCTAAGTATTTTACAAACTGACTCCTAGTGATAGAAAGTCTCTGTCCCATCTCTCCCAGACATACTGCCTTTGAGTCTGTAAACTGTGAGATCCTGCCTCACCTATGGCAGTGCACCTAATAAAATGTAAAACGCGAGAAAGAGTCCTGTGGCACCTTATAGACTAACAGACGTATTGGAGCATAAGCTTTCGTGGGTGAATACCCACTTCGTCAGACGCATCGCACCCACGAAAGCTTATGCTCCAATACGTCTGTTAGTCTATAAGGTGCCACAGGACTCTTTGTTGCTTTTTACAGATCCAGACTAATACAGGTACCCCTCTGATACTTAATAAAATGTAGGCATTTGAATTCAGGAAAGTACATGGATTTTTTTTTTTTAATGCAACAGACAGGAAAAAACAATTCAACATAAAAGACTAATGTGTTAGTTTTATTTGAACATGATTTTTTTTGGTGCTAAAGTAAGAAATGTTCTTATAAAACATCAAATAAATAAATAAATAAAAATAAATAAATAGGAATAACTTCTCCATGAAAGCATTTAGAAAGCACATGGAAAGCGTCCTGGGAGAAATCGGCACTGGAACACATTCTTCAGAGCACTGGAGAGTCACCTTAATTCTTCCTGAAACCTGCAAGCAAGTCATGAAATAAGAGTTATGGCAGGAAAATGGGGAGACCTTGAATGCACTTTGCTCTGTCTTTCAGTGTTTGCCATCCTCATCCTAGGTCTGTGCTTTGAAAATCAAATCCCTAAGCTGCGTCCTTTAGTAAAACAGAGAAGGTGGGTTTGCTGGGTGACCTTTGGCAAACCACTTTGCCTGGTTGTACCTCAGTTTTCCCATGGGAATAGAATGAGACTTTACACTCTATTATAAAGCACATTAAGATCTATGGATGAAAATCACTATACAAGAGCTGAGCAGTATTGTTAAATCCTGGGTTAATATAAATTGTCTGGGGGTTAAAGAAAGATGCGTCTCTATGTGATGGTGTCAGAAATCATTCCTAGGGCCGCTTTTAAAGGACGGTGTCAGTTTAAAAATTATAACTAGGCTTGGACGGATTAGATTTTTATCGGTAAATATCAGTAGATGTCAATTTCACCATACACCCAATGGGTTACTTGTGAAACAAACAAAAAATACTGCCATGGATTAATCATTGAAATTTACAGCTAAGCAAAGTAAGATGCTGCTTGAACTTAGTAGAGTTTGATTTAAGGATATTTACTTGATATGTTTTGACATGTGATGTTGACCGCTTGTGTTCCTGACTCTTACAAAACTGTAACTTTTGAATCTCCGTGTCTGCTGTCATAACTAATTCTGTCCCCTCCCCCTGTTAATTTCCTGCCACTGAAAATTTAAAGGATAAAAATGCTTAAAAATAAACATCTCTATATTTGTTAGAATATCAAATTCTGCCAAGCCTAATTATAATAAACTTGCAAAAAAATTATGTTGTTACTAATAACCACTGTCGATTATTAAAATTAGGGCTAGATCCTCAGCTGGTGTTAATCAGCGTGGTTCTGTTGAGTCAATGAAGCCAGTTTACACCATCTGAGGATCTGGCCTTGAAAACTGTAAAAATCCTAGGCCATGTCCGCACCAGGAGCGCCTCGTCTGTATAGGATACTGGTGTTTTCCTGTACCAGTAAAGTGCTGGGCTTTTGCAGGCATAATTTATTCCAGCCCATTCCCCCTCTCCGTCCTGAGCCATAAAAGCACAGCTTCACTGAGATAACTGCATCTGTACCCGTGGCTTTTTCTGGCACAGCTCAGTTGGTCACAAATCACACCTCATCCCGCCCCGAGCGACACAGCCATGCCGGCAGAAGTCTGTAGTGTGGCCATCGCCTAAATTACTTCTCCCCTTTTCTGCGGTTGGGTTTACACTTTGTGCTTCGCTCAGATCGGTCAATGAAAACAGACCAGTCAGTCTAATTGTCTCAGGTTCTCGTGCCCTGGCCTAATGCTGCAACGATTGGTTTGCAATCACCATTGGCAGGGGTGGGGAAGTGGTTAAATCCAAATCAAACACTATTTATACTGAGATTCTTCTAAATCTAAACAAATGTCACTAAAACACTTTTGTTTTAAATGTTTTCCTTTTTTAAAAGCAAAAGCCAAATTACAGGCCTAATGTGCATCATTTCTTTAAAAGCAAGATGTCTTTGGTAGCAGAACCATCTCTCTATCCAGGTTTTTATGCTGTGCCTATCACCGTGGTATCCAAGCACCTTGCCATGTCCCTACTCTATTAATACCACTATTTAAATAAATGTATATAGTGGCACTAATTTGCATGATGATGATGTGCAAAAATAGGCTTAGATCCTGCATATGGCCCCTTGTGCCCATGCAGCTCCCAGCTGAATAGATCCAATGGCAAGATCAGAGCCATAGACAAGAAGGTCCTCACTGCATAGAGTCTCAATAAAGGGAGATAAACTTTGGACAGGACACAGGCCGCCAGTTCAGGAGAAGGATGAGGTGGGTTTTGAGGCTGGATTTGGAGAAGGGAGCCTGGTTCAAGGGGGCTGTTCTAGACGTAGGGGTAGTTGGTAAAAGGCCCGAAGATAAGAGCGGGGAAAGGACGGGAAGAGAGGCTAAGGCAAAAGGGGTGAGATGTGTAATGAGCAGGAAGGAGAGGAGTGGGAATGTGAGCAGATGACGGTGGTTTGACAGGACAGGGATGTCCATCGGGTTGTCTCTAGGCTGTAAGGTCCATACAGAGATCATCCTTTTGTTCTGAGTTTGTACAGCGCCTAACACAATGGGGTGCTGGTCCATGACTAGGCTTTCTAGGAGCTACAGTAACCCACATAAATAATCATCCATTTATAATGAGTTGGGTTAGGAGGGACTCACCATTGCAGCCCATCCCGCTCAGAGAGCCGATCCTGTCAATTCTTCTCCCAAAGCAGCCTGAGTCTCTCATCATCTTGGGAGCTTGCAGCCCCCTCAGTCGCTTGAGGATGGGGTCCCTATAGGACAGAGGGGCGCTGGGGGCTGGCCTGGGTTCGGGCTGCTGGTCACTGCTGTCATCAAAGAGTTCTGGTGGAGTCTCTTGCTGAGCTTCGGGCTCCTGAAGATCAGGGTTGGACTCCAGGGCCTCCATCAGTGAGAACTTGTCCTCCAGCCTCTCCAACAGAGCCTGCGAGAGAAGGGCACAGACTGAAACACCCGTCCCTGTGGATTTCCCCCTTGCCTTCCTACACACTCAACCTTTGCCTAACCACTGAAAATAGCAGTCGTCCTATTGCCACAGGGTCTGGGGAGACTGTGTGCAGGCTGGGCTGTAGGGTCACCTCCCCTCTGTCTTCTTTGTCCCACCCAGACCCTACAGTCTTGTTACTCTGACCCTGTGTGAGCACATACCCGAGGGGTTGGGCAGGGTTGTGCTTGGGTGGCTAGCCTGAGCCCCCCTCCCCTACCCCAGCCACACTGCTATTTGTAGCATCCTGGCTTGAGTAGAGCTAGCACATCTCTGTCTACCCCCGCTGAGAAGCACCCTCCCAGGTGCTGTGTACACATCCCCTAAGATGGAAGGGGTGGTTCACTGCCTCGATGTCCTTTTGGGTCCATCTCTGCTCCAGGTTCTTAGCTAGCAGCAGTGACCTGCAGTGCTCCTCTGTACCTGGCCAAAAAGCTGCCAGCTTTCCCCTTCTTTTGCAGACCTCGGAAGGGGTCACCTGCATCTGACCCCCGCCAGGCTGTTGCGAGAGGCTTTACAGAGAGAAACTCTTGATCTCGCCTAGAAGCTGCCCTTGGTGTGGAACAGTGTTGCTACCCCCCTACGGTCGCGTGGGGTGCACACATCTAGAAAGCCTGCATGCAAGTCTTTGCACTGGCTTCCTGCTCACTTCTGAGGATCACTCATCACTCAAGATGAGTTTTAAAGCCCTGAATAACGTGGAATCGGGTCTCACTTCCAGAGCAGCTCACAACAGCTCAGAGCCTCTTGCTGTCCCTTCCTAGGTTTCAACCCCCTCCAGTGAGCAGCTACCTTCTGGGGGGTGCTGCCTGTGGGATCCTCTCCTCTGGGCACTTTGCAAGAGCCAGAACCTAGCTACGAGGCTCCATGCAAAATTTAACAGTTTGGCTTAACTTTTGCCTGTTTTATTCTGGGGGGTTGTTCTAATACTTTTAGGGAGCTTGTTCTTTAAGGGCTTGGTCCTGTAGAGGGCTGCTCACGCCGGTCCCAATCCAGCAAAGCACTTAAGCACATGTTTAACTTTAAGCAAATATATAATCCTATTGAAGTCACTGGGATCCTTCATCATGCACGGCGGAACCTGAATGTTGGTTGCTATGGCAATGGACACCATAAACCCCACAGGTGCATAATAATTTCCCAGCTCTGGGGGCTTTTCTGAGAGAGTCCAGCTTTGTGATCAAACCATTCATTTTTTTTTTTAAAAGTAATGAATGAATCTTCTAAAAGTTCCCACCCATCTGCCCCAATCCCCTGCTCATCTCCTGCCCACACACACCCTGGGTCTTTCCTCGTGTTTCCCCAATGTGAATGCACACACTGTCTTCTGCTTCGGTGCACCTGTACCTTAGTGAGAGAAATCGTATGAGGGACCTCATCTCAAAAAAATCGTTGTCTCCTCTTATAAAGCTACACTGATCCCTTTATAATTCCTTCTAGAGGAATGTCCCTAAGTTCTATTAGAGCCTTAAGGAAAGACAGTGTCTGTATTGAAGAGGCAGATGTTCCACAGCCTCAGGACCCTCTTCATCCCTGCTACCACCAAGGATCATCAGATGAACCCGCTAGCTGATGGGATCAGTCCCTCAAGGGTTCTGGGTTCTCTGACGCAAGAGCCCCCATCTTAAAATGGTTTGGAGCTGACAGTGCAGTTGTCTGGGTCACTTTGTCCCCTGTGGGTCTCTGCTAGCTACCTTACTGCACTAGAGAAAGGTGTTGGCACCACACCGCGCTCGGCTGAGCCCTGGAGAGTCTAACAACACAAAGCAAAGAGTCCTCACCTCCATGCTGGCCAGTTCTTTGGCAGGGCTGAGGCCGTAGATGGGGTTGGTTCTGCTGGACTGGAACTGAATGAGCAGCAGCAACAGCATCCCGCAGGAAAATGAACCTTTAGTGTCCATCCCTCTGGATCGGTTTGGACAATGGGAAAGTTCAAGCTTCTTCTGAGATGTCCCTTCAGGTCTCTCTTTCTCTCTCTTCCTTGTCCTGTTTTCTCCCTCCCCTGGCTGGTCTTTTATACCGTTTGGGTGTGATCCCTGCTTCCTAGGTTATCTGTGGATTTATCGGGGGCACATTCCAGTCCCATGGCAGGCATGCAGCTCTGTCAGGAGAAGATTCCCTTTATTAGCTGTCATTAGGAGGCAGCTGCTGCCGCTGAGGAATGTATGTCACAAGTCAGTGATTTCATGTCACTCTCCCCCCTCTTGATACCAGGCGCTGAGATTACAGAGTCCAGTTGGAAATTCTTAGCAATTTTGTTACGAGAGACCCCTGTGGTCAGATTCAGGGAGATGGGGGGGAAAACAACCCTGAAACTGCTCTGAACGCCTCTTAATCAGGAGCTTTCCGGGAGGGAAATCACCTTGTACAGGGAAAGGAAAAGATCCCAGGCCCAGGCTTTGGGGAGGTAGAATCCGAAGAAGACCGATCTCCTAAAAGTAAATTTGAAGTGCTGGACAGACTCCCCTTCTATATATGGAATATGTGCAGCTGCTGCATACCATGGCATGTGCTGAAAATCCCAGACCTGGGGCTCTTCTCTTCTCAGTAGCTTTAGAGGGGAATCTCACGATTGGGATTGTCTTTGTTTGCACATCCTCTACCAGAAAGGGGCCCTAATCCCTCTTTCCTCCGCCCTCACCCCTCCATTGCAACCCAAATGGAACCTTTAGGCTGACGTTTCAGAGGTGCTGAGTATCCCCTTTACTTCAGTGGCAATTACTTGGCACATTTTGAAAATCAGGCCACTAGTCTAGATAGCTATAAAATCTGTGTGTGTGTGTAGAAATATATATCAGGGGCCGCATTTTCAGGTCAATGGGTATCTTGTCTAAGCATGAATTGCGGGGTTTGGCTCTAAATGAATTTGATTACAGCATGATAAGCAATCATAGGTTCAGGAATAGTTTTCTCTGAGGGCCAGATTCTGATGCCCTTGTGCAGAATAGCACCTCATTCCACAAGTAGTCACACTGATTCCCATGTAACTGCTATGGTGACAGGTGCTGTTCGGCATGAGTCAGAGTGTCAGACTCTGGCCCTAAAAAAATGTGTGGGGTGCACTCAAAAGCATATATATGGTATAAAACATTTAGGTTTTTTTCGTAGAGTTCTGAAGTTTTCAATATTAGTTAAGCATTCTGGCTTTTAGTTATGATTGTCAAATTAGATGCCTTAGGAAAATACTGCTCTATCATGAATTCACTCTTCAGCCTTGTGCTTAAAACACAAGAGGCCATAAAAATGACTCCATTTACAGATTTTCAGGGGAGATCTAAGCTCCGACACATAACGTTCTCTTCTAATCTTACTGACTGGGTTCTTCTGAAACAGATAAAGCTGAAGCAGAGGAGTGGATTTCGGAGGGAAATGGATTTCCCAGTCTAATTTAAAATGAATTTGTTTCATCATATTAAAAAGACAATCAATTATTGAAAAGAATCTCCCGGCAGATTATGTAAATATTTATAAATATAAATAACAGTGATAATTATGTATATATTAGTGTGTGTATGAAGTAGGCGTGTGTGTGTATGTATATATGTGTGTGTGTGTGTGTATAATATATATAAATATACCTCTACCCCGATATAACGCTGTCCTTGGGAGCCAAAAAATCTTACTACGTTATAGGTGAAACCGCGTTATATTGAACTTGCTTTGATCCACCAGAGTGCACAGCCACCCCTCCCCCCCCCACAGTGCTGCTTTACCATGTTATATCCGAATTCGTGTTATATCGGGTCGTATTATATAGGGGTAGAGGTGTGTGTGTATATCTAACAATGCATAAATATGTGTGTGTGTGTAAAATTATATATATAACTTCATTAAGGTTTCAGAGCCAAGCCCTCAAAAGTTAGGAAATGCCAGAATTAAGGGTGACTGTGCACCTTTAAATCAGCCCCCTTGTGCTGTGCTTTATGATCGTAGGTGAGGGGGTTATTAAAGACTATTTTCCCCTCCATGAAACCTCTCCCTCATTCTGTCCACAGGATGGAGGGTGCTCACTTAATGAGCAGCCATTCATTAGGTTTTTTTCTTCTTCTCATTCTTCAGTGTGTGGCCCTGGCCCTTATTTGCTGCACACAGTTCAAACCCTGCTCTGAAGAATTATTAATGCCCTCGTGGGCTTTTCTGTGACACTCATCACTATGGTATCTGAGTGCGTCACAAATGCTAATGCATTTATTTTCACAGCACCCTTGTGAGTTGAAGGGGTGTTATTCCTGGTTTACAGATGGCAGAGCTGAGACAGAGAGATTAAGGTCCAAAGTATCCACTAATTTTGGGTGCCCAGTTTGAGATGCCTAGGACCCAATTCTCTTATTTAATACATAAGCCCCTTTGTTTTCAGTTTAAACCATTTTTTACTGAAAAATTCTCCGGTTTTACAAAAAGCATTATTCATTTTTCCCCCCAATTTTCACCCTACTTTTGTATCATTCAAATGTATAAAAATAACTTGTTTTATTAGGAAAATACAATACATTGCATGGGATCTATGTATTATGATAATACATTAGTCTCTGTGTATATGCAAAGCTGCCTGTTGAAGTAAGGATGTGTATTAGTCTCTAGAAGATACACACAATAAACCAACAGGCCCACACGCAAGCTCTCAAGTGCGTGCACCTCTGAACGTCCTGATGAATCTCACGTACACATTTCAAGCTGCTAGCAGATAACCACTTAAAGATTTGACAGTAAAATGGGAAGAAAACAATCTATCAGAATACACTTCAGAACATGAGGAAGTATTCAAAAGTTTAAAAAAAACAAAAACAGGAGAAAAGGATGGAGTTATGTGCTGCACCTGGTGTGGCCTAGCTATTATGGCGAATAGTTCTAAGTCTTCAACAGTAAACTGTTTATTCAAACAAAAAGTTTTATTTGGGGATGAGAGAGATTATTTTCTTAAACTCAGAGGTGGCCTTGTGTTCTGAGCTCTGTTTTAGTTCTGCAGCAAAGCACATTGATGAATGGAATTCAAAATATTAGTTTACTGAATATTCTCCCCCCCCCCCCCAATCTTTTTTTCCACCAAAATAAACCCTGATATTTACCCAGAAAAAATGTTTGCACTGATTTTCACCTGTTTTTGTTCTGGTGATGATAAACACTGACATTCCCAGGAAAAATAAAAACTGAAAATGATGGGCCCTATTAATACACCTTTCTATGGCACATCCTGTATTCCAAGCTCAGCTCCCACTGACTTCAGGAGCAGCTGTGCAACTGACCTCAGGTCCCAAGATGGGCACCCAGAAACTGAGAAGCACACAACTAGTGACTACCTGCGAAAAGTGTGATTAAATTCCTTTCCCAACATGGCATAGGAAATCGGAGGCAGGGACAGAAGCCAGTTCTCCAGGGCAGCATTCAACTACCTTATCCATAACCCCCCGCCCCCTCTTCCTGCGATCCCCTCCCTCCTTTAGGACCCAACTTGGGCAGCCAAAGAAACACTTCTGACTAGGGCTGGACTTGGCAACTTTATTGGTGTTCTTTTAAGGTAGTTAGTTTTGTGTCTGTAACAGAGGGTGGGGGTGCCTGGCCTGTGTGGGAATGAGTGGGCATGAAAATTCCTGACTGCAGCTGTAGCTATTGGATGTATAGGGCCGTATTCTGCCTTCCCTCGCCCCCTGGTGGCCCCACTGAAGCTAAAGGCTGTAAGGGTGGGGGCAGAACTTGGCCCATTCTTATGAAGACAGACTTTTATGTTATTCCTTGTGGGACAAATCCTGACGACCTCCCTCAGGCCGCCAAGGTCAGGGTATGTCCCTGTGTAGTTAGGGTGTAGCCAGGTCAGTCTCTAAAGCAGTGTTTCCCAAACTTGGGACGCCGCTTGTGTAGGGAAAGCCCCTGGCGGGCCGGGCCGGTTTGTTTACCTGCTGTATCCCCAGGTCCCGCGGATCGTAACTCCCACTGGCCGCGGTTCACTGCTCCAGGCCAATGGGAGCTGCTGGAAGCGGGGGTTTGCCAGGGCGGCAGGTAGCTCAGGGCAGCGGGCGCTGTGCTCCCCCCCACCCCCAGCCAGGCAGGCCGGACGCAGCAGGGCGCTGGCAGGAGCCCCCTCTCCTTGTTCCCCATCGCTGGGACACCGCCCCTGGGGGCTGGGGCTGCGGGGCTCCTTCTCCCCCCCCGCATCTCTCGGGCCTGATTCCTGCTCCCCATCCGGCCCGTGACACCATCTTTCCCTGGTTTCAGAGTAGCAGCCGTGTTAGTCTGTATCCGCAAAAAGAACAGGAGTACTTGTGGCACCTTAGAGACTAACAAATTTCCCAGCCCGGCCTCTGTGCTCCCTGCCCCAGCAGCCCGCATCCCCTGCGAGGAACAGAGCAGCTGGGGTGTGTGTGTGGGGGGGGAATCTCTCTTCATCCCCAGCAGGGAGCCGCTTCCTCCCCGGGGGCGCCTGGTGCATGCCCCCCACCCTGCGATGTGTCCGCTGCCCCGGCCCAAGCTCTGAGCCCCTCCAAGCCCAGAGCTGGGGGGGCCTGGCTCTGCCGGACGGCCCCTGGCCCAGCCGGAGGGGGGTGTGTGTCTGTCTGTCTGTCCGTCCCTCCCTCCAACCCAGGCTGCGGGGGGGGGGGGGGAAGGCTCCCTCGGGTGAACCCGCCCCTCTCCCTGCCCGGCCCCGGGGGATGCACCTGGCTGGATCCCCCAGCTGACAGCCCAGCCTGGGCGAAGGATGGTGCCGCTAGAGCCGGCCGAGGGGGCCCCCTAGCGGATGCCGCGAAGCGCGCACGCTGGGGGCTGTCCAAGGTGCTGAACAGGGCGAGTCCTGAGCCAACGCATGGTCCAGGTGTTTCCACCCAGCCCCGCACAGGTCCCTCCGTCTCCCTCGGGTCTCTAGCGCCTAGTGCCAGCAGCTCCTCCTCTCTCTCGCTGCTGAGGGTCATGCAGCCAGCGCCCCGAAAGGGCTGGGCTGTTAAGGTGTGGGTGGCCCTGTGCCCTGGGAACGGGGCCTGGTGTATGCTGGGCCAGGCTGTGCTGACACTCCACAGCGATGCTGAGCGAGCATTTCAACCCAGAGCCGGCCACCGTCCGGTGCCCCGAGGAGCCCAATCTACTCCGCCATGGGGCAATCTAGGGGGGCTTTACCAATGAGAAAGAGAAGAGTTTCCCCCCCTCTCAAAAGCACCACTTGCACTGGGGTAAATCCGGAGTGACTTCATCACCTCTGGGGGGAGCCACTCCCAATTGACCCCAGTGGAAAAGGAGAGCAGAATTGGACCCTGGCGTGGGATGACTTCCTCCAAGTAACCCAGCCCAGTTGTGCAAGTGACGCATGAGCTCTGCGGGGGCACTTCGCGTGTGACAGGAAACTGGTCCCAGGTCCCCAACGCCCCGTCAGAAAGGACTCGCTCCTCGCGGGCCTCCAGAGTGAAATGAGCGGTTTATACAAAATATTTATTGATACACGCCACGGCTGTCAATTAACCATGTGTACAACGCGAATTCATCCACCAGCCAACCCCTGTTCAGGCGTGACACGTGTTCCGCTCGGGAGGGGTCGAGGGCTTCCCACCAAGTTACCAGTCCACACAAAAGAGGCTCGAAAATGTCGTGGGAGGCTGGTGGGAAGTTCTAGATTCAGCTTCTCGATCGCCTCTTCCAGGAACCTAAAACCAAGGGGGGAAAGAGACCCAATGAGCACCACGTTCAGAGTCTCCGCTTCTCTTCTAGGCCAGAGCAGCTCCTGTCACCACGCGGCTGGACAGCTGTCTGCTTGGCCTACGGGTAATATAACGGAGCTGTAGGGACCCACTGTTCAACCCTTTCCAACCGGAGCCAAGGTCTGGCCCCCCAAGGCAGGGGATGGGGAAGAATCTTGCAGAGCTGGGTCGGGCCATTGCCAGCCATGCCTCCTAAGGCTGGTGCTGTTTCCTGGCGAGGTGGGGAAGAGCTCTAGACACGCCGGGGCTGAAGGCAGGCTAAGGGTCTAGCTAAGACCTACGGGCTTTGAAGATGTTGCACCCAAGTCCTGTCTGAGAGCCGATCCTCTCGATCCTGGTCCCAAAACACCCAGAGAAGTGCCTCATCCTCCTGGGAGAAGCAAGGAGGTTCCTCCACTGACTCTCCACGGGATCCCGGGGCTGGAGCTGGGCAGCGGGGCTGCTGGCCGGCTCAGCAAGGTCCCAGCTAGGGTCGTCGTCTTCCGCCCCGTAGTCCAGACTCTCCAGCTCCAGCGGCCCCCCTTCCTCCCCCTGAATCTTCTCCTTCAGCCGCTCAATGAGGTCCTAGAACAAGAGAGGAGAAGACCGTGACCAGCTCCCGCGTAACTGACCAGGGCATCCCGTCCCTGGGGCGGGGCAGAGGGGGCCACAAGCCGGACCTGTCCTCTCTCGGATTGAAAACCACACTGCTCGGAAGGGGGCTCTGCCCCCTTGGCCTGCTTGTTACGGTGCCTAGTGCTAACACCTTTACCCGGCCTCCGCGGCAGCGGTCAGAGACCCAGCTCCCCACCCCACCCCTGTACCGCCTCTCCTCACCTGCAGGGACTGGAGCTCCCGGCTGGAGTATTTGCTGGACAGCGGGTGCCCGCCTGCTGGCCCCCGCAGGCTGAGGAGCAGCAGAGCGGCCCAAGAGCACAGGGCTGCGCCTTTCATCCTGCCCGGTTCTTGCTCTGCCTCCAGACCCGAGCTCCTTGGGGTGGGCGTGAACGGCTGCTCCGGCTTCCTTTATAGCCGCCCTTCACCTCCTGCCCGAGCTCGGCAGTCGGGCACTCGGCCCTGATAAGGGAACTGGTTGCAGCCAGTGGCACTCGAGGTTACCCTCTCGGAAGCGGTGTGTCCCCCCGCCTGGAGCAGCGGTCGGGATCCTGGGCCACTCCAGCAGAGCCCAGCCGCCCTGGGGGATCAGAGCATTTCAAGTGCCTCCTTCGCGGTCCCTCTCTGGGCAGCGCAAGGGAGGAAATGACCGCGTGGTCTCCCACGTTCCTAGCCGTCGCCATTTGGCTAGCGCTTGAGGGATCGCCTGGGATCCCTTCAGTGCCTTGGGCACGTCCTCCTGACCCATGGGAAATGATCCATTGCTCACCCGCCGTGAAGGGAGATCAACCCCCCCCCCTTGGGCCAGTCTGCAGCCTCCTGTAGCTGGGGGAGGGGAGCAAGGGGGTGCAGAGCGGGTTTGGAACCGGTGTCTCTGCTCCGCTTGCAGCAGTTCACACCGGCAGCGTTTGTGTCTCTTTCAGTTTGAGCTGTAAAATGAAATGGGAAAACAGACACGTGTTAGGGAAATCTCACTGCCAAGGTCTCTCCCACCCCTGGCAGACCCTGTGCCACTGACCAGCTCTGCCATGGGGGCTATTGGGGTTATTTACTCGGCCACTAGAGGTGACAGCCAGCGGTGGCATTAGTTACCAGCTTGCATTACTTTCCCCCACCGGACATACTGTGCTGCCCTGCTTGGCCACTTGCAAGAGCATCGCCACCATTCTGTGGGCAGGGATGCTCCCTATTACGTGCCACCCATGGGTGTCTGTGTAACAATCTTTCCATCACACTATTTTCAAGGGACTTCAGCTTTGTCTGCACTGGGAATTTCCCTGACCTCAGCCACAGAGGACCAGCAACTGTGGCAGCTCCCTTCATGTAGACAAGGAACGCAGTGATTTTACACCCCTGGAGTTTACTCCTGCTTGAAAGTGGGGTAAGTTGCACTGGTCCAGATCACAGCTCCTTGTCCATACCTAGATTTTGCATTGGGGCAGCTACACCATTTGTGGGTCATCTGTGGCTGAGATCAGGGCAAATTCCCAGTGCAGACAGGGACTCAGTTGCACTTCGCTTTTCTGTGCATTTTTTTTTAGTGCATCTAACTACAGACTTTTTGGTGCCGTGGGAACTGATTGAGCCCTGGGTTTTGGTAGGACATCCTTTATTTTTCTTCCTCCACATTAAAATGCTGCTTTCTCCAAGACTCCAGAGGATGGCGTAAACCTCCCTATGACATTGTATGCAAGGCAGCTAATCTCCATTTAAGATGTACCAGAATTTCATTGGACTATGTTTGCTGTCAAGTACCAGCACTGCCAGTTTATCCCCTTGTTGTAAAACAGCTAGTTACTCCCCAGTGGCTTTCGACAAACTAGCCATCATATCTAAGGTGACGCGTGCAGGCCGGTCACCACTCACTCGCCATGTCTCGTCCTTCTGCCTGTAAATGATGGGGAGCTGTGTCCTCCTTACCCCACACACTTGTATTCTAATGCGAGAAATTCCTAAGCAACAATCATCCTTCATGGAAAGTCCAGCTGTTATGCTCAGAGGAAGAGGTCACCTTATTAATCATTCGTTTTAGACTCCCTAGACAACAGCACTTGTATCATTGAACTGGTTACTGTAATGGATGGCCCGCCTTTCTGCAAGGTCCTCACAGATTGTTTTGCCTTGGGCGTTGCTACTGTTTCTTATTAGCCTTAGCCAAACAAGTCCATCTACAAATGACCAAAACCAAGTGTCAAAGGGGATCATTTCTTTGGTACTGAGGCAAATCTCCATCCTCTGAAGCATCAGGGATGGCCAAGGCTGGAGATAGGATGTTGGCTGGGGAGGCGCCAGGTGTCTGAGGTGGTGCGAAGAAGGCTGTAATACTTTGGTCTAATTTCCATGGTTGGGTTTAATATGAGGGTGGTGGTCTGTGATCTACAGAAGGTCAACCTGGATGACCCAGTGGTCTCTTGTGGCCTCAAACTCTGACTCTAAATCCTGAGGGCCTCACTCAGTTTTCACTTAGTCCTTATGTCAATACAAGAAACAGAGGCCGTGTTCTCCGGCTGGGAGGGCACTGGACTGGGAATCGGGAATCCTCGTTTCTGGCACCACCATTGTCCTGCCAGGTGACCTTGGGAAAGTCACTTTCCCTTTTTCCCCCTCCTGCCCTTCCGGTCTTGTCTGTTTAGCCTGCAAGCTCGTAGAGTTTGTACAGTGTCCAGTGGATTGGGTCCTGATCTCTGCTGGGGCCTTTAGATGCCACGGTAATAATATATCTCCCAGGGCCTCATCCAAAGCCCACTGAAGTCAATGGGAGACTTTCCACTGAATTCAATGGCCTTTGGAGCAGGTCTTCAATGGGAATTTTGCATGAATAAGGATTTAGCCCTATGGCAATAAAATGAGCAGATCTGACTTGGACACGTGGCTACATGGTGGGAGGTACTGAGCACCTCTTCCAATCTGGGCCTCAGGGAGCAGACGTTGAGTAAGATGATGCCATTGACACTTTCAAGGCCAGAGGTCATTGTACTCCATTCCTAGCATTCTACAGAATGGGTTTTTCATCTTTAAAAAGAAGGGGCGGGGGAAGGCACTTCTGGTCTTCTCAGCTACTTTCCGACCCTCCATATGTAAATTCGTGCTCTGCTGCTTTGTTCTTCCACTCCAGCCAGATTGAAACAACAGTGCTGCTAGAGCAATGAGCCTTTTTCCCATTTCGCTGTCTAGCAGGCTAACTTTAAAGGTTAGCCCTGAACATTTAAATACTAATAGTAATAAGCAAGTTACCGAAAGGGCAAACACATCCAGCGTGAGTCCTTGGGATTTAATTAGAGAACCTTTGATGTGATGTAAATTGTTCCCCGTGACATTTTGAAAAATAGCATTTTGAAACGATGAGACACAATGCCCAGGTGATAGGTTTCACTGGTAACGCAGCATCCTCTGCAGAATCCAAGGTCTTGTCCATTTCAGGTACGCACTTGTTTACCCTTTCTAGGATTCTGTTCAAAAGCGGGCCATTCCCAGTCCTAAACCACAGCGATAGAGATGCTGATCTCCATGACGTCGGTGTAAATCCAGAGTAGTTTCACTGACCCTGGGTGTACACCAGTGTAATGGAGACTGGCACAGGAGGGTCAGGAAGTAAGCTCCAGAATCTAGTGCTAGAGAGGAAGAGAGACGCCTGCCAGTAGATTTCTATTACCCCTGGCCAAGGCTTGAACTGGGCTAGATTCCATTGGGTCACAGATTTGGGTCTAAGGTTGTGATGAAGGGGAAATTACAAGTGTATTTGAACAGGTTCTCAGAGCTCTCTGGGGCTGGGCCCACCTTTGTTCTGTGTTGGTACAGAGCCCAGCACAATGGGCTCCTGGCCTACAATTAGGGCCCATAGGCACTACTGCAATACAAATGATAACAATAACCTCATCACACGCTAATAAGACTCCACCATCTGTGACTAACTGACCTAGCACCGCTGAGAGACCTCAAATTGATTCATTTCCCAGGCCTGTTTCTTCTCCCTGGCATTGGAGGAACCAGCTAGCTGAGGAGGTTATTGAAGCTGGGCTGTTCGGTTTTCTCAATTATCAGTGGCGCAATAAGCAGCCTGTTCTGTTCCTTTATAATAGTTATGAGAATGCAGATGTTGTAAGAGTACCATCCACATGGGATGGGCATGGATTGATTGAACGATGATAGCCTATATCAAAACCAAGATAATACATAAATGAAAAGTCCCAGCTGGTTCCTGATATGCACTGCATTGTCCTCATTAGAGCATCAAATCCGCATTAAATATGAGAAGTGGTGTTATTTGGCTTCCATCTCCCTGCCTATGCAGCACTGACACTCTTTATAACTCCAGATCTTCCCTCTCCTCTGGGCACACGCATGGAATCATTCAGCCTTCAAGGTCAAGAAGTTCTCAGTAGCTAAGGGAAAAGTGACCTCTGACCCAAATTCTTTAGGAACTTTGGGCCAGATTTTGAGTTCAGTTAAACCAGTGTAAAGCCAGAGTCACTGCACTAGCTTACAGGGTGGCTTTGCACTGGTATAACTGAGATCCAAATCCGCTCCTATTTTCTCTTCTGCCTCTGGAAAGCAGCATTTGAAGCAACCAGCTACGATGAGAACATAATGAACCTTGAAGTGAACTAACTGATTTAAGAGAAAACAAAGAGAAGGCAAAACTTCTAAAAAACCCATTGGACCAGCATTAGCCTTCAGTTACCCCAGAACAATTCCACTGAGTGAAACAAGCGAGAGCACAATGCAGCCTTTTCATGTTCAAAACCACAGTTGTTTTCACTAAAACCAGGTAAATAACATTAGAGTTCATCTGCCATCAATAACCTATCTAGATTATCTCGTTGCAGCTTTTGAATATCTGCTAACAAGTAGCAATTTTCTTAATTTGTATTTTTTTCTTTTAATTTATTTGACTCGTGTTTTTTACTCTATGGCTTGATAGCCATTGTTCAATAGTCCAATCAGGAGCGGTATTGCTGAGCTGTGATTGGTCAGGTAGGTCACATGTTTAATTCCCCATTGACTCTCCCTGTCATATCACTGGCAGGATTTTTGTATTTTAGCAGTTTATTTTTGTCCATCCACTATTATTTGTGCAGGGCTCTGAGGTGTTTGCATGAAGGGGGTGACAGAAGGGCAGAGTGGTGCTGTTGGTTCTAGAGATGGGCAAATAATAGACTTCTTGGTTTGGGAGCTGAACTGAAAAATCTGGTTTGATTTGAACCAAACTTTTTTTAAAATTTCTTTTTATCAAATGGGGAAAAAACTTAATTTAAAAAATAAATTGGTTGAAGGGTTATGAGCTGACCCAAACAATCCTTTTTTCCAAGTATTTCAATTCATTTTGAGTTGACCAAAACCAATTGTTCTTCCAAGGTTTTTTGTTTCGACTTGGCTGTCTGGGATGCCTATCGCCATTTCCTTGAGTGGGGTGGGTTTGTTTGTCTTTCTGGTGTTTAATTGGCCAGATTTGAAAGCATGATGTTATTCTGAATCAAAGTCACAACAAAACATTGAGACCTTCTTTTTTTTTTCTTCCCCTTCTCCCTCCCCCCCCCAAACCAAAATTATTTGCCCAATTTGGGTCCAAATTCAGTGAATAGTTTTGGACCCTGAAAAATGCATTTTTTTTTCAGTGAAAAAACAATGAGTGGAAAAAAGCCTCAGCCAGCTCTAGTTGTTACCAAGCACGGCCCTGATCCTGCAGCTGAATCCATCTGGGTGACCCGTTGACTTCGGCGCGGCTCCCTGAGGGTGTACAGGTCGGCACGCTCTAATCCACGGGTCTGCAACAGGACATTCATGACTGAGGAACATGTCTGTGTTCTGTCTAGATGCTATTCTTCATTAGCTCATAGAAAAGAAGGGATCTAAAGCGGTCATCTAGTCTGTCCCCCTCTGCTGAGGCAGGATGAAATATGCCTAGACTATCCCTGACAAGTGCTGGTCTAACCTATTCTTAAAAACCTCCAGGGATTTATTCCACCACCTCCCTTGGTAATCTGTTGCAGTGCTTAAATATTAGAAAGAGTTAGAAAGCTTTCCTGCTATCCAATCTAAAGCACCCTTGCTGCAAACTAAGCTGATTACTTCTTCAGTGGACATGGAGAACAATTGGTCACCATCTCCTTTATAACAACCTTTTACATATTCGAAGACTACGTCCCACCTCGGCCTTCGCTTTTTAGGTACTACAGTTATTACTGTCTTCAGTCACTCTGAAACCGAGCTGACATTCGCCACGCTGAGATTGCACTGATTTTTGACTGCTGTAATCAGACAGTGAGCTTCCTTTTCTCATGATGGATGGGAGTGGAAGCCTATCACCATACAAAACCATTTTTACCTAAACTTAAATCTGGGATCTAAATCAACCTGCCAGATCCCTTCCACCTCTACCTGGCTTGATCCTTCATTTGATGTCATGAGTCATTTCAAGAATATTGGTGGAATGTTCCATTTTGCACCCTTGTGCTGAAAGGTAGCACTGTATATAATGGATGTGGTGCATCGATTCTTTCATAACTTAGGATGCTCAGAGCTCTGATGTGCCTAAGTAAATGATTAGAACATCTTTCCCCAGCGAGAGACCGTTTTCTTCATTCTCACTGATACAGCTGATTAATTTTCAGAGAGAAAAACAAAGCTGATCTCGTAAATAGAATCAATGGTGAACGCATAAGACCTAATGAAGCTTGACAGCTAGAGACCTTCAGGAACTGCGGTTGAATTTCCTACTCCTGGGCTGAGAGAGTGACTGCATGAGATCCACTCGTCGTGTGTGTGTTTTGCTTTTAGGAGAAAGTAGTGTTTGGGGGGAGAGGGGTGGTTTTGTTTTCTCCCTAGAAATGCAAAGAATCATGAACTTGAAATAACAGGGATAAAATGGAAATGAAAGGGAGATAAAGGAGGAGCCATGAGAGAATAAACTGATGGTGACTTCTAAATGTTAAAAGGATTTATAAAGGATAAAGTGGAATCACAAACAAGAAAGGAAAGGACACCTCCATTGGCAAGTAATTCTGGGCTTCAGGGTCCCCTCCTGATGGGATTCTGAAAGTTTCTGTAGACCTGTGCTCATGAATTTGCAGCATCCCCTTTGGGAGTCTATTTGTAAATTCCATGCAGAAGTGTTCTCGAAAATGTATTGGGTAGGAACCTGAACTTGCTTTACCCCAGTTTGCAACTGGGGCAATGCTGCTGGGTGGCACACGTCTCTGATGTGCACTGGTGTAAATCCACCGGAATTCGGATTTCACAGTAGCTCCAAGGAAGTCGTCAAAGCCGCAGTGAGGGTTGGAGGAAGGGTCGCCCTAGCCTCAGTGGCTCAGGGCGGGTCCAGACACTACGGGTATGTCTACACTGCAATCCTGTGGCGTGCAGCTCATGTAGACCGATCTGGACATAGCTGAGCTAGCTTTAATCGAATTTGCTTTGTGTGTCCGTGCACCCCTATTGTGTGTTCTTCCCGGGAATTCTGTGGGGAGCAAGTTTGCAGGCAGGGTGTTTGCTCAGGGCCGGGCCTCTTATATGAACTACTGTGGCATATTCATGGAAAGTAAATTTCAATTTAATGATCGCAAGAATTTTCACTGGACACCGGATTTCAAGAATGCAACTCTTGCCATCAGAGAAGAGAAACAATGCAGCTTACGTGCCCCAGTCCAACCAGTGTGGGTTCGGCACTGAAAATCTGCAGAACACGCTGGCAGGCAGTGGACAGGCTGTGCCCAATTATGTGACCCCTGTTCATACATGAGTAGTCCCAGTAACATCCGTGGTACGGCTCACCAGCATCGGGGCTGCCCAGTCAGCTCCTTGGCAAGCAGCCTAGGGACTGAACTACACCCCATGTGTCGAGTAACAATGACCATGTCTACACGTCCAGTGCTGCAGTGTCTGGTGAAGATGCTCTGTGCCGACGGGGCACAGCTCTCATTGGCATAATAAAACCACCTCTGCGAACAGCAGAAGCCGTGTCATTGGGAGAAGCTCTCCTGTCCCTGAGCAACATAAGTTCTGCGACAGACTGTAGTGTAGACATAGCCTGAGGCACAGGAAAACAGGGCTAGGTTCAGTGATTGAACTGTTTGCACCAAAGAGCCTACCCAGGTATATTTTGGATACAACTTTTGTCAGAAAACTAGTTTGTGTCCCAAGTGATCCATGCATAAGACTAGGGATCACGATGAGCTTCCCTTCGAGGAGGACAATGTTTTTCTAGACACGACTGACCCTTAGACATGCAAACCACCTCCAGGCATTTCAGCTGAGACTCCCTGTGGCACTTAGCAAAGAAGGTGAAAGCTTCCTTAGAATAGGTATGCAAAAGGGCCTCATGTCAGTGTCACTTGCTTGTAAAGTGTGTCATCCCCTGCTAGTGGCTGGCCCACATAGAGAATAACAACCTACTACTGCTGCCAGCTAATGGAGTTACCCCTTTATCTCAAGTGATAGAGGCAAATGCTTTGGTGCTACAAGGCCAGGGTTCAACCCCCAATGAGGGCTGTTGCATCAGCCATGCTGTGTTCTCTTGGGCTCCCCCCCCCCCCCAAAAAGCTCCTTTTCTTAAGTAAATGCTTTTTGTTTTTTCTTTTTTTGTTTTGTTTTTTTGTTTTTTATAAAATCCCTTTTTATCTTTCTGCAAACAATCTCTCAGGACATGCATGTTAACCATTAACCAGCCATCAGATGAATTTGAATAGTTCATATTTATTTGCCCAAATGTAAATCAGGGCAACACTTTGTCCTCAGGAATGATGAACTAGGAAGAAAAGCAGAGTGGAGGTTTGAAACACATTCACCAAATGATGAAAACCAGCGTATTTTCAGCATCCATGACACAATGACTGTTTCATACACATGGCACATAACCAAGACAAATCAATGGAACCGATAACTGCTTTGATAAGTTAATACTGTGATACAAACAATGTAGCAATGGCCAGTTTCTTAGTGGTCACGTATAGTGGGGGATGGCCCGGGAGGAACTCATTCAGTACAATGTCTACAGGGGAGTTAGTGGAGCTGGAGCAGTTTGAGCTGAACATCTCCTTGAAAGGCAATGGGTCCTCTAGGTCCTGAAAATCTTAGTCCTGCTGAGGAAACAAAAGGAATACGTGACAGAAAGGAGGTCCGCCAGGTTTCACTAACAGGAACTAATTGACTTCACTATTCTAGGGCTCAGTTCTGCTCGCTTACCCTGCTCCATGGGGCTTCTCTGGATTTACACCAGCGTCATTGGGGAGCTGGTAAAAGCCTCTCTTGGCTGGCTTCTCTGAGGCATCTTTGGAGAAGGCAGGGGAGGGGCGGGTAAAGCCCTGGAGGTGTAAGATTAATAAACCAAATGTGCAGGTGGAGCTGGGGACGTCTGTGGAGTTGCACCAACATGAAGTTGGTCCTTTGGGTCTGAGAGGAGGGAGGGATAGCTCAGTGGCCTGCTAAACCCAGGATTGTGAGTTCAATCCTTGAGGGGGCCACTTAGAGATCTGGGGCAAAATCAGTACTTGGCCCTGCTAGTGAAGGCAGGGGCTGGACTCAAGGTCCCTTCCAGTTCTAGGAGAGAGGATATCTCTATTAATTTATTTATTTTTTAGGGGAGGAGGGATGGCAAGTGCCGTATGTACCTTTTCCTTCAATTCGAGCTCTAAACTCTTCCTCCTCTACGTACTCATAACCCCCCCCACACACAGAGTCTCACGCTGCTTCTCTCTTACCATAGCGAACAGTTAGCATCCCAGTCCGCTCAGGGAGCCAATTCTGTCCAGCTTGACACCAAAACAACCCCTGGACAGGCCCTTTTTGCTCCTGCCTCGGTATCTCCTGGATGACCCCAGAAGATCGCTGAAGAGCCTCTGGAAAGTACTGTCGCTGATGGGGACCCCCTCGGGCTGGTCCCTGGAGTTTCGGGCCCATTGGAGCTCAGAGTCCTGTTGGTCAAAGGCACCTGTTGGGATCATGTCTTCTCGCTCTTGGTCCATCTCCTCTGAGGCCAGGGGATGCTCCAGATCTTCATCTAACAATCTGGACAGGCTCTGAAAGACAGGGAGGAGAGTGGGGGAGGTATTGAGGTTCAGACACTCCTTCGATTATTGTCATGTAAACCTACGTCAATGCTAATCTTCAACGAACCCATTTTAAGCTTGACTCGGAAGGAAAAATGTGCTAAAACGTCAACGAAGTAATGATGATGATCTCCGGTCTTCATTGTCCTCCACTAACAACTCTGCTTTACGTTGGACACCAGCTCTCAGATGCCTTCGGGCTACAGGCTACTGCTATGGTCTTAGTTAGACATGGACAAGAAAAGTGAGGGATGTAAAAGGAGTCTCTCCTAAAGCTGGGAGCCTGGTGTCTGGGATGATAAACAAAGAGGCTAGGGGGAGCGGGGACTGAAGGAATAGTAAGCAAATGATGGAGATAGTGGAACAGCTGGAGAGAGGCTAGGCTGATGCTGGAAGGATTAGCTCTGAGGAGGCTGGAGGGTTACATGGTATATACGGATGTTGGACTGACAGTGAGCTAATTAGAAGATACTCTTTCTACCGGGGATGCTTAAAATGCTTTTTATTAACAGTGTAGGATCCCTTCTCTCCCTCTCTTTCCTGGGTTTATCAAGCAGGTGACTGAATCCTCTGCAGTTCTGTTGAGAGAAGATTCCCCTCCTTGTTAATAGCATGCAGCCAAAACCAGATACTTCGGCTAGAGACAGAGGCAGGTTAGGAACTCGAGGGATGAGCTTGCCGGTGCCCAGAGCAGGGCTACAGGTGGGAGGACATCCATATTCTGGGTAAGAAAATGCATCTTCCTTTGCTCTGAAGTTTAATGACTTCACCCAATCCCAGACTGACCTGAAATTTTGCAGTCTCTCTCCTACCCCTGGGGAACAAACACTTGACCTCCAATTATCTAAAGTCAATCAAGATAGAAGTCAGGCAAGGAATAGCTTTGGTTTTGCTCAGTTAAGTAACCCACGTCTGCTAGCTTCATGACCCCGAAGCTCTTGAGCATCTTCCAGCAGCCAGGGAGGGCTAAGAAGAGCCATATCTAATCTGAAGCTTTGGAGCCAGTAACTCCAAGTTCCAAGGAATCATCAGCCCCGTGATATTGAAATGAGCAGCTGCTCTCTTACCTGTAAACTGGAGAGGGGTTTGGCCCGCGCTTGGTCCTGGCTGAGGAGAAGCAGCAGCAGAAATCCACAGCAGAAAATAAGCTTCGGGTTCATCTTTGTGTTGTGTTGTCTCCCGCAGTGATGGGGCGTCTCTCTGGCTCCTCTTCCCCCTCGAGTCTCTCCAGTTGCAATGTTACTCTGTGTCTCTGGCTACCAGCCTTTATACCTTCCCCCAACCCCTCCCAGGGCCACCTCTGAGCTCCTGCCACAGCCAGGATTGGTTTAAGAGGTTCTGATCGGCTTTCATTAGCCCAAGGGGAGGAGGGAGTTTTGTTCCCAGCCAAAAAAGAATTAGAGGAGTACATTTTTTCACTCCTCAAGCTGTGTGGTAGCACCCTGTAGTTGTTGATCTGCAGCCTGCTCTTCTGATACCACCTGTATGTCAGTTTTCTATGCTCGGTGTTGCCGGAGGTGATCACTAAACCTTACGCTTGCTTTTCTGTGCCTCTGTAGAAAAATAATCAAGAGAGAAATATGGAAAGAGGCAGAATCTACAATGCATTCCCCCCCCCCCATACACACGGCTACTCTGTCATTGCAGAAGAGCACATGCTGGGAGATCTGGGGGTCTCATAGACATGTATGCTATAGAAGAGTGTATTCTTTTAATTGCATTGGTACCTGATAGAGAGTGCAAGGGAATTCCAAGTCCCTGCAAATATGACCAATTGTCTCAGAAAGTTGCATTTGTTGACATTTAGATTCTTACTGGTTTAGGGGACAAGCCGTGAATTTAGAACCTGATTTAAATGCCGAGAGAGAATTCCCTAGTGTCTTGTGCATAAAGAATGAAGAAATTCCTCTTCCTCACTGAACGTTTAGACTGGATCCAGCTTGAAAACATTCTCCTGGGTGTCTTGTTAAATGTACTTTCCCCACGAAGAGCGCAGCATTTAAATCTGGGACATGCCTGAATCAAACACCCCCCCGCTTCCCACCTGCCCCTTCTCCCCCACACAGGCTCCTCTTGTGAGCGTTAAAAATGAAAACTGAGCTCTAGATGTGACTGCAGCAAGTGGCTCCCTCTCTTTCTAATGGATTGAATCAAAGCCCCAGATCCAAACATCCCCATGCTTGAGGGATGTCTGAAATCACCTTAACATTGGGAGCATCTTCTCTTGCCTTTTCCCTTCTCTCAGGCTTTCATCTAGGGCATAAGTGCAGCATAGGGTTATGAGCAGGACTGGACCTTTTCCGGTGCCTGACTCTCTCTCTCTCTCTTTGGGGCTTTGCTGCAATGACAGCCTCTGCCTGGGAGTGCAGGCTGGAGTGGCAGCTCTGTCCCAGGTGCCGCATACGCTCTTCTCCCCTGGTCTGTGGGGAGCACTTCCCTCTAGCGAAGCTGGCACTGCCAGAGGCATTAACAGGAAAGAGTGGTTCTGGCCCTAGTCATATCACAGCTGCCCCTACGCAGGGAGGGTGGAAGCTGGGGGATGCCTGGCTCTCCGCTTTGGGTAGCTGTGGGGGCCAGACACAGTCTGGCCTGGGTGTTGGCTTAAGTCCAGCAAATTAAGGTGGTTGGGTATTTGCTACCCGTTTAACCAGCACACTCAGTGGGGGTGAGCTTCCTTTGCTACATGGCTCTGTGGGCATGTCTCTTCCAGAGGCCAGGCCAAGTCCCAAGGCGAGTGAGAGCTCTGCCTGCATGAGGACTGCCTACATCCTTTGGCTTTGGCCCACGGTGGTGACCCTCTCTAACACATACTGGGGCAAGATCAAGCCCTTCCAGGCTGCGGCAGAGAAGCCCACCAGTGCGGGGCATGAGCTCGGTGGGTCCCGGAGGCATCATGTGGCCAGCGGGAGCTGGGTTGGCCCCCTCCCTCATGCAAGGGGTGTGGTCCTTCAAACATGTCAGGAGAGCAGCAGGGTTATGGGGTGGACTGTCGACATCCCAGCCACTCCATTACACGCAGTGACGGCAGGACTCGTGCTACGATTTCTCCACCCATACCTGTCCACACACCCCACTGGTGCTCAAGGGAATGGGAGCCTCACAGGCCTAAAGTCTTCTAGATTAATCATTGTCTCCGTATTAATGCCAGGTGAGTTCATCCTGAGAATATGCAACATCATAATCCAGAATAAGAGAACTCTGGTGGTGGTTCCCTGTATTGGGAGTGTTTCTATGTCACTTTAGTTACATGAACTTCTTGCAGCACTCAGACATCAGTCTAGGGGAATCGCTCTGTGGAGATGGTGTGAAGCCATGGAGTCTCCATCTAACCTTTGAAGCTGGATTGGATTCTTTGTTACAGTTTGGGATGTAACACGTAGTAGGTGCTCAGATACCTTGGTGCTGTGAGGGCATTTTAATAAACCACCACAACCCCAGGCCAATCGCCTTTCCTGGAATGTTTTCCACCTACTTTCGACCCCCAAATTAACCATTTTATCTGATCAGAGAAAGAAGAGCAATTTAATCAGTCACTTCCCCACTCTCGGGGCCTGAAATGGGGGCCCACTGAAGGCAATCCGAATTTCCCTGGAAGAGGAATAATATATCTTTAGCTCACACAAAGCTCTATTCCCCACACGCTGTGCAGAGTGTTGGGCCATTAAGCTGAAGTCTTGTGGAGAAAATGGAAATGATGAGCCATCTGGCTTTTTATTAGGCATAATTTCATCGAGATTGAGATTCGCATTGGCGCCGGATGTTTGAAAGGAATTTCTCTGTGTGTGTGTGTGAATGTATTCAGCGCTTTCACCATTTATTCCTCTGTGAAATCAATTTAAAACACAATGGTTAAAGGCCTTGCTGGAAATGGGTATTCTAAGGAGAAGGGTTATAAGCATCCCCTTATGACAGAGGGGGAAGATGGATGTTATTAGATCTCTGGGCTGTTGTTTTGTTGATACAGCCACATTTAATCTGAGCCCTATTGAGAAGAGAAATCATTAAAGCCACAGCATTTGCACTGGCAAACAATGGCACAAGAACATTTTCCCTTCTGGAGGATTTGAGGCGGGATCTGAGCACCTTCAATAAACAAATATATAAAGATCGACAGTCAGAGATGTCATTTCTCCTGCGTATAATCTGGTTCTCATTTGCCGGGGGGGTTGAAAACTGGTCCTATGTCTGTATATATCTATAGGAGATCACAATGTCTGATTGTCATCAAAATAACGGTGACTGTCCTGTGGTTTCGAGTCGTGCTTCAGACTTGAATCCTTAGCAGCATCTCTGTATTGTGAGTTCTACAGGGGATCAGGGGTAGTTTGTTGTTTGCCCCTCTCACTTAGGTGGGGAAGGGGATTGCCCCATTAGCTTTCCATCCCCTTTCACTAGCCCTAGATGGGTGGGGATGTAGAAAGAAAAGGGTGTAAAAGAAGCAGCACTTCCCATTGATCTTCCATCTCCTCCTTACACCATCCTGGTGGTGGCTTTTCCTGCCCCAGCCCCATATTCCCCTTCATCATGTCAGTTGCACTGATTTACTGCTGTGTAACTGACACTGCAATTTACCATTACCTCTGAATTCGCTCTCTGGCATCCAGTCCTGGGGAGGGATGAAGCAGAGGCCCCGTGGAACAGCAGAACAGCAGGGGTTTCAGATACATGATGGATTTGGCTAAAGACAAGGGGTAACGCAACCCAAGAGCTGTCCTATCCAACTGGAGTTTTGCTATCTGCTGCCGGAGGAGGGTGCCATTCACAGGTGGGAGAGAATATTTGGGGGTTTGGGGCCACGGCAGCATGAGACAAAATCTGTTTCTGTTGTGACTTTGGACTCCAGAGAGAGCAGCTGTCTGTCTGTCTCTCTATTATAGTACTACCTTCACCACTGCCCACTCTTCCTCTCCCAAAGACACTCAAAGAACAGTTACCAGAGAGATCTGCTCTGCTCTTGTTGCTACTGGTGTCCTAGGAAAGGACCAGACCCCATGGGAATTTGAGGCAACAGTTCAGTCAGAAAGGAAGCTACGTGGCTTCAAAGCCACAGCCCTCTCGATCTTTGGAAGGAGATGAAAATGCTAGACGTGTAGGACTGAATTAGTGCTGCTAGCGTGGCAGGAGGCTTTCAGCATAACTTCACCATTGTTTGTATGGTGGTTTTAGGACTCAAGAGCAGGTAAATACAGGTCAGAAGTATCCTTGGAGTAGCTGAATGGACGGACCAGGGTCAGGGTATGAGCCTTCGGACTTGGGAGTCCTGGGTTCATGTCTCTGCTGTGCCATAGACCTCCTGTGACCTTGGGCAAGTCCCTTACCCTCTCTGTGCCTCCATTCCCCATCTGTGAATTGGGGGTATTCGCACTGCCCTGCCTTACAGCGGTGTTGTGAGGATAAATACACTAAAGACTATGAGGCACTCCAATACTATGGTGACTGGCACCAGCTATTTACCTTAGATAGATTGGCGCTGGACTCCTAATCTTCATATGACCGAGAATGCAATACCAGGTGGAGTACCTGACCATCCTTTGGCATAGACCATGCCTGCCAGAATTCGATAGACAGGCATTGCTGGCCCACTCAGAGGCTCCCATCTGTCCTTCCCAGGGCAAGATGGTGGTAATGGGAAGTTTGACAGGTCTCGAGTGGTTCCAGATGCCTCTTCACTCCCTGTCCCAAGCTGTGGGGGAGTGTTGCTTTGTGCCTTTGAACTTAGATGTGGCTACACAGCACTTCACAGGTATTCAGGCCAGAAGGTACCATTATAATCAGCCAGTCTGATCGTCTGCATAGAAACAGGCCAGAGAATGGCACCCAGATTTGTGTGTTGAAGCAGAGCATGTCCCTTAGACAGACATCCAATTCGGATCTAAACATTCTGCGTGACGAGTTCACCACCTCCCTTGGGAATTTGTTCCTATGCATCTTCTATTCTGTTTGAACTTGCTGACTTCAGCTCCCAGCTCTTGTATTTTGTTATGCTAGATTAAATAAAATGAATGATTGTCGGTAGATTAAGGAGGTCCTGACTCCACCTTGCAGAACCCATGGTAGCTATTTTCTACCATTTAATGTAGGAGGACAGTATCAATAGAGCCCCTCTGACTTCATTGGTTCTACTTTCTTAGACCTCCAGGTGAATCTCACTGAGAAATAT